CTCTAAAGTGAGTACAAAAACAAAAATCATATTGGTATTTGTCCAAAACAAATCCATTTTGGAAATTCAAGTGGTTCCTTAGACAGGTAAACACATACTTAGAAAACTTGAAAGGAAAAGGACAACAAAAATAAAACCCCATGAGGTCACTTAAAAGTTGAGTTTTATTTGAATGAATAAATCATTTTGCATACACGCATGAAATCAAGACCTATTGATCCTCAATGCATTGAGTTTGAGATGAGGAAAGGTCATCTTTGATAATCCTTCCACAAGACTGAAATATATCCTTTGCAATAACCTATTAGCATTTTTTGAAAATAACCTTGACTAGGATCACACCCTATACTGGGGGGGGGAAAATAAGAGAGGTTTTAAAGACCATCAATCGGAAATGACTTCATTATTATCCATACAAAGTAGTGAAAATAGGTGCTAGAATTGATCATGTAATTTGATTGAAAATCAAAAGGATTTAAAAGATTTGAGCTGCATATAAACAAACAACTAAGGTACTTATGCTCAACAAAACAAAAAAATGAAGAAATCAAAGAGAAAGAGCCTAAACCCGATATTGGGGGCATGAAATCCATTTTTGCAAGAAAGGCAAAAGAAAAGGTCAAGGAATAAGCATAAGTGATCCTTAGTCTTGAAATCCCTTAAATACTTTTTGAGCCTATAGTATTCTTTTCTTTATAACCAATAGTCTAAGCTTGCATTACGTACCTAATAAAGCCCTTTTTGATCAAAGGCAAGCAATCTGGATTGATAGGTAATGCTTTCTCATATAGGTCAAATCATTATTCATGCAAATAAAATAAATTCTTTGAACCGATTCAGTTCTTAATAACCCTCAAATTAAAATTTAAACTTTTCATGACCAACTAGATGTCACTTCATCTTTAACCTAAAAGCAAACACAAAAAGCTTTCATCATTTCAAGAAACCTGTTAATAGGAATCGCTTGATTTTTTTAGAACAAGTTTATTTTGAACCAACATCCAAATGATTTTTATGGTTGGAATAACTTGGAAGTTCCAAAATTTTTGTATGAAAACATTTCCATGTACAAAAAACCCAAACTTACTTTCACATATCCTCACCCCAAAGTAAACCCAATGTGAACACTTGGGGGGCATGATCAAGCTGGGGGATAATCAAAGCACCTGGTAGGGTTGGCTCCATGATTCCTTTTCTAAGGAAAATGTCGGGCAAAATTGACAAAATTTGAAGGTTGGACGACTAAGAAATGTAACAGCATTAAACCTTTCCCAGAGGTCAAGATCACAATATATAACTCAAGTAAGCAAGGGTGGAAAGACTATCGAAGTTTACTACCAACACTCCAACTTTTGAGAAAAGAAAGACACCATAAAGAAATAGAGGCCTATATTTCTCAGTTAAGTATCCATGCATATCAATCATAATGCATTGCTTTCAACATTTCAGCAAATTGTTAATCCATCATCAAACTCTTAGGTAATGCATTTTTTTTCCTACCTCTTTTCATATTGAGTGCACCTTTAAGCCTTCACCTCCTTTTGAGTACGTCTTTGAGCCCTCATCACTTAGGGAATGCGTTTTCTAACCCTGTCTCTTTTTTTTTTTTGAGTGGGCCTTTGAACCCTCACCATCTTTTCTTTTTTCCATTTTGGGTAGGTCACCCATCACAACACGATCACTCTTTTTTTTTCTATTCTGGGTAGGTCATCCATTACAATTCAACCATTCTTCATGTTTTTTATCTGGGTAGGTCACCTATTACAATGCGACCATTCCTTCACTTAGGTAGGTCACCCATTACAATAAGACCATTCTTTCTTTTTCTACTTGGGCAAGTCACCCATAAAAATAGACCACTTTGAGTATGTGTGGGTAGGTCGCCTATGAAAATAGAACAGGGTAAATGTGATTGCGCGGGCAGGTTGCTTATGAAAATTGACCATATTTCTTCAAAACATGAAGGGTTTTAACCCGTAGGATTTTGGTTCTGGTTAGAGGGGATTGGCGAAAGGAATCTCAGTCTATCCTAACCATAGGAGTTTTGGTTCTGGTTAGAGGGGATTGGCGAAAGGAATCTCAGTCTATCCTAACCCACAGGATTTTGGTTCTGGTTAGAGGGGATTGGCGAAAGGAATCTCAGTCTATCCTAACCACCTATAGGTTTTAGTTCTAATTATAGGGGATTGACTAAAGGAATCTCAGTCTATCCTAACCACACAGGAGTTTTAATTCTAGTTAGAGGGGATCGGTGAAAGGAATCTCAGTCTATCCTAATCACATACAGGATTTTGGTTCTGGTTAGGGGATTGGCGAAAGGAATCTCAGTCTATCCTAACCACACATAGGATTTTGGTTATGGTTAGAGGGGATTGACGAAAGGAATCTCAGTTTATCCTAACCACCCACAGGGATTTTGGTTCTGGTTAGAGGGGATTGACAAAAGGAATCTCAGTCTATCCTAACCACACAGGATTTTGGTTCTGGTTAGAAGGGATTGGCGAAAGGAATCTCAGTCTATCCTAACCACCCACAGATTTTGGTTCTGGTTAGAGGGGACTGGCGAAAGAAATCTTAATTTATCCTAACCCGTAAGATTTTGGTTCTGGTTAGAGGGGATTATCCTAACCACACAGGTTTTGGTTCTAGTTAGAGGGGATTGTCGAAAAGAATCTTAGTCTATCCTAACCACCCACGGGTTTTGTGATTAGTACTTAAAAGTGCATTTTTATCATGGTTTTATATCATCATTTTGCACTTGAAGTATCAATAACTCCTTAACTAAAATATGTTTTATAATAATGTATCTAATAATATAAGATACCTATAATTTGTGGTAAATGTCTATTTTTAATGCAGGCCTATCACATAAATGAAAGGATTGATTGATGACTTGAAGAACTTAAATTGCAAGGATAAAGAGATGGTCAAACTTAGAGAAGAGATGTCGGTGCAATCCAAACCGGAACACTGTTCTGTAATTGGGTCATATCTGGAGCTACAGATCTCAGATTTAGGTCCAATTTATATGGATGGAAAGGTAAGACATAGGCCTACAACTTTCATATGGAGCCCAAGATCTAAAAAGGCCATTATCAAGTCCAAATTGTAGCAACAACAAAGAAGCCCGAATCTGTCTTCCAGCCCGAGCACTGTTCGGTATTTTGGCCATATCTGGAGTTCTAGAAGTCCAAATGAGCTGAAATGTTTACACAAGAAAGCTGAGACAATTTCCTACAACTTTCATGTTTGCAACTAGCTCAAATTTTGATGTTATCAATGACGTTTTTGGCAGACAAGAGAAGATAAGGATTGTCACCAAGTCAAAAGTTGGTCACCCACTTATCAATTAGTCATCAAATCAATAGTTCCCAATTTTGGCCTATAAAAGGAGGCATTTGCCATGCATTTAGGCATCTTAGTTTCCAGATCAAGATCATGCTCTTCCTTTCTCTCTTTGTATTTTTTTGTAATGTTTATGCTTTGCTTTCATTAATATTAAGTTTATGCCTTTCATTTCCTTTCCTTTACTTAGTTAACTTTTATGTTCTTATTTTGTTTATCTATTTTGCTTTCTTTCATTATGTCTAGCTAAGTTAGTTATGTCAAGGTGAAAAGGTTACACTAATGGTGTAAGAATAAGTATAATGTAAACTTAATATGGACTTTAATGTTTGATACTAACATGTTTTATATTTGTTATCTTGTTCACTCTTTAATACTTTGCTTGTTAAATGACTAATCTTGATTTATGTTGTATAACACTTGGTACAACAAATGCTTGGCACTTTCATAGCCCATAATGTATGGTATAACCGACACCTGAGCTATGAAAGGAACTTGATTTGTTGTTAACATAAGTTATAATCATGAATGCTTGACGAAATTTACAAGTATTAGCATTAATTGAATAAGATGACTAATGTAATCATGTTAACAATATATAATCTGATTGGAACCTCCTTTGTGTGTGGTTTCCAATTCAATAATAAGAGTTTATACTATACTTGTTTGATATACCATTAGTGGAACCTCTAACCTTGACATTTGTTATTATTATTGTTTAATCCTTACATTAATTTTCCATCTCCAAGTTCTCATCATCATCTTTTTCTTCTTCTCTTTCTTTATTATTATTATTATTAGTACTACTACTACTACTATTATTATTATTATTATTATTATTATTATTATTATTATTATTGTTGATGTTGTTGTTGTTGTTGTTGTTGTTGTTGTTGTTGTTGTTGTTGTTGTATTATTATTTAGAATTTATACAATTAACCTCCCTATGGTTCGACCCCGGTCTTACCGGGTTATTTATTACTTCGACACTCCTGCACTTGGGAGAAGACATCAATCTTTTCGTCGTGTCATTTTGGTTCTAGTTAGAGGGGATGGGGGAAAGGAATCTCAGTCTATCATTACCACGCAGGATTTTGGTTCTAGTTAAAGGGAATTAGCGAAAGGAATCTTACTCTATCCTAACCACACAGGTTTTGGTTTTGGTTAGAGGGGATTGACGAAAGGAATCTCAGTCTATCCTAACCACCCACAGGTTTTGGTTTTGGTTTGAAGGGATTGGTGAAAGGAATGTCAGTCTATCCTAACCACACAAGATTTTGGTTCTGGTTAGAGGAGATTGGTGAAAGGAATTTCAGTCTATCCTAACCACATAGGATTTTAGTTCTAGTTAGAGGGGATTGGCGAAAGGAATCTCAGTCTATCCTAACCACCCACAGGTTTTGGTTCTAGTTAGAGGGGATTGACGAAAGGAATCTTAGTCTATCATTACCACACAGGAGTTTTGGTTCTGATTAGAGGGGATCGGTGAAAGGAATCTTAGTCTATCCTAATCACATACAGGATTTTGGTTCTGGTTAGGGGATTGGCAAAAGAAATCTCAGTTTACCCTAACCACATAAGATTTTGGTTCTAATTAAAGGGGATTGGTGAAAGGAATCTCAATTTAGCCTAACCATACACAGGACTTTGGGTTCGGTTGAAGTTTCAGGTCAACCAAATTTTGAGAAGACCAATTTTGAAAGACCAATTTTTGTTTATTTTTACAATAATTACTACGTAAAATCTTTGCTTCGTAAGTATTGTAAAGAGGGGTTTAATTAAAACCAGATCAGGGGCCTAATTGAAGAAAGTATAAGTTTATTGCTCAATTGAGGGTCAAATTGCACTAATTCAAGATCAAGGATCAATGTGAAAAAGGTAGTTAACTTCAGGGGCGCTGTTAGATTTTTGGCAGGGATACAATTGAATTGATTTTTACAATCAAAATTGCAATTGAGTACTTGATTGAAAAAATCACAAATTAAGGACTAATGTGAACTCTATCACGTTTTGCCGCCTTTTCTTTTTAAATGAAATGGCACATTTTGTCCAAAACATTGATGTTTCATACATTGTTCATTAAAAAAAAAAAAAAGAGAAAGGAAGCCCAAAACGGTGCCGTTTTGATGGCACCGTAGGTCTTCTTCTTCCCTGGACATGTGAGGTAGGGGAAGAAGAAGATTTTTCTTTCCCCTGTTTTCACCAACTTTCTTCCTCTAAAAAGCATAAAAAAGACGCTAACCAAGGACACCGACTTACCTTGAAAGCTTTCCACGTGTTGGACGGGCGGTGGCATAGTGGCTGCCCCAACCATGTCTCTCCCTTATTTTTCTATAAATACAAGGGAGACGAAGATGAAAAAAAGGATGGGAGACCGAGAGAGAAGGAGGAGCCCGGAAAAGGCGAGAACAGAAGAGTGAGGGTAGAGAAAAGAAGAGAAAAGAGAGGGGGAAGGTCGGAAAAAAAAGAGAGAAACAAAGAAGAAAAACAGAGGACAAAGAGGGAGAAGAAAAACAGCAACGCCGACCACTGCAAACCGCCAACACCACCACCATTGCCGTTGTCTGTCGCCTCCAGTAGTTCCGCTACCGACAGCAGCCACTGCAAGTTAGCCCTTCTTCCCTTCTTTCTCTCTTGCTTTGTACATGTCGTGCCTCCACTATTCACGTAGCATGTGAACAATGGAGTGCACTATTCATACGGGCTGGGATGAGCCTAACCCACGTGGATGGGCCAGGTTCGGCCCAGCCCAGGCATTTAGGCCTAGTCCTGCTCATTTCAAAAAAATAAAAAGAAAAATATATTTATAATATTTTGTGATTTTCCCCCTTTTGATTTATGTCTTTTTTTAATATTGGTCTGTATTTTATGTCATTAAAAATACAAATCAGGTATTAAAATACTCAGTTTTCTGTAAAACTTTCAAAAATACAAAAAAAATTGAAAAAAAGAAAAATATTTTTGTGCATACAGCCAAGTGTCTTAAAGCTAAAAATCATATTGTGTTTTTCATATATAAAAAAAAAACAACAACAATGTTTTAGCATGCATTTTGGCTTTAATAACCAGTTTATTAAAGTCAAAAGAATATTGGCCAAAATTTCAAAAACATCAAAAATTTTATTTTATTTATCTGTTAGTATCTGGGGTACGACATTATACGTAATATATATTCTGGATATTTAATTTTTTTTAGACAATAGAACGGTTATGTTTTACCACATTAAGATAAAAACCTCCTTCTAAAGGAGGGCTTGTCTTGAACCCTAAACAAACCAACAATTAGAAACCACAACACGACTTTAGATTTTATCAGACAAAACAATGTAGCCTATTTTAGGTAGGGTGTAGGTGGGGTGCTAATACCTTCCCTGTACGCAACCATTCTCCGTACCCGATCTCTGAGATTAGTTAGGGTTCCTAGTAACTAGAATACTAGGTGACGACTTTCATTCAAATTTTCCACTGATAAAAGAGAAGAATTCCTTGTGTCTTTACATTTTGTCAGAGATAAACCATATACTATTTTTTTTCTGGATGGTGGATGATCATTGCGACACCGTACACATGCGACAATTTTAAAGTAGAAACGCAGTTAATGTTGAATGGTGTATGGTTTCCTGGTTTCTCATCATAAAGTTGAATGCTTTGTTGACCTCTCTACATCGAAAATCATAAAGACAGCTACTGCTAGCACTTGTAGTGGTCATTGAATACTGTAGAGTATATATTGTAGTTTGAGATAAGGTTAACTCATTGCATTTTCATATATTGAAAGGATTTCTCTTCTTTCTTTGTCAGTTACAGCACATGCACAGAAGTGTTCTTACTCAGAGTAAATGCTATTGTAATGTTTTCACGGACTCCCTTGCTTTGCAACTAAGTCACTAATTATCTTGGAACATAGCCATAAATGAAAGGTTATTCCAGTTCAAGAAAGTTAACCATGAAATTAGTAGCTTGAATTTTTAGACAGAAGGGTGGCCAAGTAAACTCCTATACTGTGTACCTCTAGAATAATGCAGGGAAAGGTTGTCTAAGTATTTTGATGTCTTATATTACTTGACCAATTCTTGCTTATCTCATTATTTGTTTTTATTTTTTGCTAATGATTCCACACATGGTGTGGTTTATGAGTTGAGGGTTCTTACTCACTACTGCAACTTCTCTATACTTACCTGGTCCTTAAAAATGAAACGTGATGATTTGCATATGCAGAATGGAGACATTAAAGAGGCATCTTCTGTTTTCTAGTTAGGAGGGATTACCAGAACTCAAGAAATTTGTCGTACGTTTTGAGAAAAAGATTTATGCCACCGCTACCAATCAGGTATTTGCCTAATACGAGGTTCAATAATTACGATATTATCTAGACATGAATATACACACATATTTATGCTTGTACAAATGTGTGTGTGGTGTGCCTGCACTTCCACACCGTTCATTCTATATGCAAGGCTGATTGAGAGTTCACATCTTTTTGTTAATTCTCTTGACAAGTGTTTTATTTAGAGTGACCAAGTTCAAGTACATGGGAAGTGTGCAAAATGCAAATAGCGAATCAATACATAAATAAGTAAATAAAAAGAGAGGAAACAGAATCTATCCTCGCAAAAGATGAAATGATAGAGCATATATCCATTTTCCTCCTCTTGTAACATGGATTGCTCTGAGATCTAATGTTTTGTTATTAATATCTGGTTTTAGTCTGATTATCTACATAAAATATCTCTGGTGATGCTTTTAATGAAGATCAGGTCTTAAAATGCCATGCCCACTACCCCAATGGATCCAGCAGGTAATAATGCATCCAAGCATTGAATTTCTAAACATCTTACCTTTTGTTTTTCTTCTCGCATTGTTATCAAACTCTTTTACATTTTCCATAGTGAGAAATTGCTCCCTTTAAACCTCTCAATCTCGTACTTTGCTACCATTATATTCACCGAGATCTATTCAACTATCACTGTTTCACTGATCTGCAACATATATATAAATAGTATCGTGTGAATAATACTTCACTAATTAAGTTCCCAGGAAAGATTGGAGGGGTCACAAACGGTCCTGTTTAAAACTCAATCTCCTTAGACAAAACTTCTTGATTGTATTTAATCACCACACTTCTTTTCTATATACGCCAACAGTAACAATGTAAACAGTATCGTATAGGTGAATAGTGCCATAGACGTGAATAGTAACCGTATACACGAATAACTTTTGTGTATTAACAACACCAACCAAAAGGCTCTGATACCACTGTTAGGATGCTGACATGCAAACCCGACAAAACAAAAGACAAGGAATATGATAAAATGAGAAATGACACACAAAAGAATTTGCATGGTTCATCCAATTTGGGCTACGTCCACAAGCAAGTGTAGAAGGATTTTACTAAGTAATATGAGAATTACAACATCTCTAAAGTAATAAGAGAACAACTAAAATCTCTCTATTACTAGGAGAAAACACTTCACTTACTCTCTCATAAATACCTCATAATTTTGTGGGATTACTCTCTCTTCTCTATATTCTTCACTTCTCTTCTTTGGTGTGAATATGTAGAACATGTTTGGCTAGACATTAAAATAATGAACAAACTAAGGCTAAAAAAGAACAGTTGAGCTTGTTTGTCAAACACACCCTTATCTAAAAGTCAAAGATATAAAAAATACTTTAAGATTGCATTTGATAAACATGCCTTAGGAAAATACAAAACATTTCCTCTTTAGTAAAAATAAGGCATGCCAAACATGTCTTTAAGATTGGGTTAGGCTAGCCTAGCCACATAGATTAGGTTTATTGGACTCAAGGCTCAAGTCCACACATATGGCTCTAAACAAGAGGTGCGAGATACATTAAATGGCTTTGGAAAAGGGGTCTTCCGGTCAACTTTTGTAAGGCTAAAAAAAACAATGAACAATATCGAACGACATATCATCTACCTTTTATTTATTTTTAACTTGGTGTTGACCACGACAATATTTTATTAAACCAAAACATGCCATTTTTGTCGAAACATATCATTTCATTTTAAAAAAATAATATTATTTTGATGATCTTAAACTAAATTAGGTCATATATTCACCTTTTAATTTCAACTCTTAATTCTTAAATTTGTTCAATTAGATCCTCAAAAGGACGTTCCATGCGCTAAATAAAAAACAATAGACTTCCTTATCTTCACCCTTTAATTTTTACAAGCTTTAATCTAAAATTGAAAAATTGTTTTTACAATTGAATCCAAAAAAACAAAACTTAATTATTATCCTATTGGTATCATCAAATGTTTCCTTTTCTTTTTCCAGTAAATAACCTTTTAATATTATGAGAAAACAAAGCTTATGCTACGTCCAATGTTTTATTTTAATCCTTTGTAACAAACATGGCAGTGGTGTGGGTTTAAGAAATAACATGACACACAGCCCATGGTCGAATGAATTATTTGTAAAATGTCTTCATTTTATTTTATTTTATTAATTAAAAAGATGACAGAAATGTGTGATACAGCTAAACCAAGAATTGAATTAGATTTCTAATTATAATATAATTGTCGTTATAATTATAATATATTTTATATTTTATAATGCAATAAAATATATAACTAAAAATTGTAAAATAATTTATATTTTATAGGAATGAATCAATTGTAAAATAAAAAATTTTCCCTGTGAAACTTTCTAAAATTACCGACAGTAGCTAATAAACCATTTGTTAGCTTTATACTTTAATGTTATCTCATTTATAATAGTTTTCATCGTGATTCCATCGGGTAACGCAAGACAGGGCTCAGCGATGCTAAAGGCAAGGACATGTAGTTGTTCGCTACTTCTACCATTGAAGGTGATTACTATCAAATCAGCGGATTGCATAATTTTTTTTTCATAATCTAAGAAATTAATTTTTTGTCTTTATATATTTTTCTAACCTAGCTGTCATGCCCTCTCCCATTATCATTTAGCTTATTTTCAAATAATTTTAATCAATTTACTTCCTTTTACTCCTAGGAAAACCAAACCTTGTTAGCACTGTTGCCTCCTTATAGTATTTCCACCCAGAAATTCATGATGTTCTTCCATATAAGCATCAGTTAGCTAGCTCTTTATCTTCTCTTTTGTCTCGCTTATGTTCTTAAATTATTTAACTCACTTCTAAACATTTTATCAGGTTTAATGTTGATTGTATTGTGATTGATGGTAATGATGTTGCAACATTTCTAATAATGGGAAAAACTGCTGAAAACTCATTTGGCTCCTTTGCCCGCTGCTATCTCTATGACAAGGGGGTTTATTGATTGCATCCCACCTCCCATGATTGAAAAATTAAATAAGGACAAGATTTTCCAGCTGAGATTTGGAGCTTTGTGCTCAGTTGTCAACCGTTGTGACATCATTGTTACCAATGTCTTTGACGACATTGTAACTGCTGAAGCTCCACACCTGCCTGCTGAACCAGAGCTGCATGTTGTAGATATTCCTCTTAATGATCAAGCAGCTTCATCATCCTCTAAAGTTGCCTCTCCGTTGGACCCAACAACACCATCACATGTTCCACCGTCTAAAACTAATGCTAATTTCTCACAACAGCCACAAGTGTCCCCAAGGCAACCATATATGGTTGGTCTTTTGCCATCATAAATCAAAAGACAGCTGCTGTTTGAAGATTAAACGCCTAATGAAAGGTGACAGGCTGCTCCTTCCTCTCATTTAAAAGTTGTTGCCTTTCAATTTCAGCAATGTCAGTTGTTTCTTTCTGTTTGATGAGTAGCAGATACATAACATTATTAATTTATTTTGGATTCACAGCTCTACAATAGCTGCTGCATCTGATCCTCGAGGTGGATTTGCATCACTTGACCGTGATACATCAGCCATCACTGAGACAAATGTGATCCACCAAGCAAACGCTAATGCCCTTAGCTTACACGCAGCGTTTAAATAAAACCACTGCAGCGCCAGTCTTGTTTTTCATTTCTGTTAGTTGTTACTATTGCGAAAGATTCGTGTAACTAAGCCAACAAATTCTCTAGAATCTACTCCCTAATAACTATATTTGTAGCTACTTATGGAACAGAAGGAGAATATAGAATGCAATACAATTATCGTGTTTTCCCCTCTGTTCCCTCTTCTCTTTCTCTCGTCTTCTTCCCACCATCCCTCTGTTATTCTACGTACTCTTTACGTTAGTTGGGAAGGCCACTGCCACCCTAGCTCATCAATTGGATTCTCTTCTAATTGGTTCTCTCAAGAATCAACTTGCAACAGATTCCTACAAGCTGCTGGCAAATCTTGAGTGTTTCGACAGGCAGCCTCATGAGCAAAAGAAAGACAATCCGCGACCACTCCAAGCTTCTCGTTGCTCCCCTGTTCCGATTAGAAACAGAGATTCGAGAAGCTATGCCACTGTCCTGAAATCATCATCTCCTTGTTCATCATTAGGCACTGGCTGGGACGACACTGCTTCCTCACTACAATTGTTTCGCAATGGAGGTCCACACAAGTTACCTGTGGTTATCTGACAAGTTACAAAAGTCAATTACAGAATTATTTTTCCAAACAACCGTCGTACTGGTGGTCTTCCGTAATCTTTTTCCAAACAACCCTCATATTGTTTGATGAATTATTTTCTTTATTCCCATTCAAATGTTTTCATACATGAATACTGTAGAGTATATATTGCAGTGTGAGATAAGGTTAACTCATTGCATTTTCATAAATTGAAAGGATTTCTCTTCTTTTCTTTGTCAATTACAGCACATGCATAGAGGTGTTCGTACTCAGAGTAAATACTATTGTAATGTTTTCACAGAGACTCCCCTGTTTTGCAACTAATTCACTTATATATCTTGGAACATAACCATAAATGAAGGGTTCTTTCCATTCAAGAAAATTAACCATGAAGCTTGTAGCTACAATTTTTAGACAGAAGGGTGGCGAAGTAAACTACTATACTCTGTATCTCTGAAGGAAGTAAAAATAGATGTTTATGTATATTACTTGACCGGCACTTGCTTATGTCATTATTTGTTTTTACTTTAGCTAGTGATTCCTCACATTTCTGATATTGGTGTGGTTTGTGAGTTAAGGGTTCTTGCTTGCTGCTATTAACTTCTTTATACTTTGCTCGGTCATTAAGAATGAAACGTAATGATTTACATGTGCACAATAAAGACATTAAATACACATCTTTCGTTTTCTTTCATAAATCAGTTTGTAAAACATTCATTCACAAATATCGCATATAAGCAAATCAATTTAAACATAGCCATTGCTTGATCTTTGAAATACATTTAGTAGATGAAAAATGCATAATTCAGAAAAATATCTATTCTATTTAAAAATAATAGTATATGAATATTTACGTATTTTCTTTGCTTAAATAGCCGAGGTCTGAAATCTTAGCTCAAAAAACCTATTCACAAGCATATTATGTTAATTACATGCTACCTTATAAACTAATCATAGCTCCTAGAACATTCAAAATTCTATTATGCTTTTTGGGTTGTAAACTAGTCTGAATTACCTTTTCATCCATGTATATAATTTAGATATCAATTCCTTTTATATAATTTATAATAATCCCCGAAATCATTCCTGAGCATTATTGACAGATAATCAACGTATTCTTTACTATTATCATCATAGCTATTTCTATAAAAACTGGATTAATGCACCGTTTATGGTATTAAAAACCAGAGAGAACAAGCTTTTTCTGTGTATAAAATTTGCATAAAAAACTGTATCTATTCAAATCCTTTTTGGATCAAACAATAGCCCCTGTAAAATACTTAAACTAATAACTTCTAACTTTGGTTAGCCTAATACTTTTATATCATTAAACAACCACTAAGCAATCATATTTTCATAACATATTTAATTAATCCAAAACCTTTCTAAGTATATTTGTTTTTCTCAAAATCAAGAAAACATAATGTTACATCATTACAACATTTAACAGTTTTACCAATGGAATTTTTCCGTCAGCATAAGATTACCATTCTGTCGGTGAAAATTTTATCAACTAATTCACCGATAGAATACGTCCGTCGGAATAACATTTGTTGGTAATTTGATATTTTGTTGCTAATTTTTTCAGTAAAAAAAATGATGGTTTTACAGATAAAAAATGTGTGCAAAAAAAATCTTGCTGAAAACATGCCAATGAAATAATTATGTCGATATATTTCCATCGATGATAATGCATAAGCAATTATTTTTTCCAAACTCTCTGGAATATACTAACAGAATGATTTTATTTGTATTTCCATCGGTAAATCACGGATGGAATAACGATGTTGGTGACTATGGCATATATAGTAAATAATTTATAACTCTCTGGAAAATACCATCGATATAATGTCGTTTGTAAATCGGTCGGTGATAATTTAAAAATATTTTTAAAAATAAAATTGTTTATAATAAATATTATAAAATTGTATTGAATAATAGTAAAAAAAAGCTAATTAAGCAAATAAAATTGAAAACTATAAAAATAAAATTAAATAATATAAAATACAAATATTCATTATACAAAAAATTGAAATAAATCATTATTATAATATTATAATTATGTGGGTTGAGCCTAAAAGGATTGGGTCAATCTGGACCTAATAATTCTCTTTCTTTTTTTTGTTCTGGTCGGACCCGGCCTAGACATCATGGCTAGGCAGAACCAGCCTGGCCCAAAACAAATATCGTTATGCATGCAGGAGAAACTTATACCAAAAATGAAGTACAAGTGGAGGGGAAAGAAGAGTTACCTAGCACGGAAGAGGCGGGGCCTTGCTGGTCTGGCTACTTCACTTGCGATGTTGTGGTGGAGGCCGGTGGCGGTGTCGTGGCTCATGGACGGCAGCTCCAAGCAGCGGAGGGAGAGGTTCCTGCTCTTCTATTTATTTCTCTCACAAACCCTCCCCTATTTCAAACTTGTCTTCTTTCCTCTCTCTCTCTCTCTCTCTCTCTCTCTCTCTCCCGTTTACTTTCCTTTTCTTTTCCTCCTGTGTCCTTTTCGTTTCTCTGTGTTTTTTTTTCATTTCTCTGTGTTTTTCCTCCTCCTGTGAAAATACTTTTGCAGAATAAGTGAAGAACCGAGAAGCAGAAAAATAAAAGACTTTGATCTCTACAATGACTATTTGTTACTATAGATCAACACCAGAAATTTGAATTTGAACAGGGGATGTTTATTGCATGAAAACTGGATAATGATAAGGATAATTGCACATTTTTACAGCAATCAATTACACTGATTTATAGAAGGAAAATAAACAGAAAAACTAAAATTAAGCAACACTACTGCCAACGTTTGGCTTACATTTCGCCATTACTAACAATTCACCTAAGGACTTGTTCAATCCTTTATTCTAGCAGAAATAAAAACAACACGTGAGCTGAACTGATCTTCAAGCAACATGTCAGCAACTTAAGGCAATAAATTTCAACATCCTGTAACAGGTGTTGAGAGTAGTATTTATAGGGTAAAGGGGAGAGGGGGTGTCCCTATCGCCGCCCTATCACTGTGCATGGAAGAGGTTCCTACCCTGCCATAACGCCAAATGAGGTGGCCAATAGGCGTGGTTTGCAGGGACGGTGCTGGATGACTGGCCAATGGGTGTGGTTTGCAGGGAAGACTTCGTTGGCTTCTCATTATGAAGGGGAGTGTGCACACGAGGAAGAAATAAATGAGAAACACAAATTTCTATCTTCCCCTATTGCACGGCTAGGGGTAGAAGAAGGAGGAATAGTGTCGCTCAAAACGACACAGTTCTGTTATTTTTTTAACATGAAATGATATTATTCTCATCACAACACATCTAATTCAGTAATTCATATTACAAGTTTCAACAATTTACAAACAAATATAATTTTATAAAATCTAAAATAAACCATAACAAGTATAAAATTATACATTCATACTACAAGTTTATTTAAGAAAAAACAATAAAATATATACATACTCTAACAAAATATATATACTAAAAAAATTCAATAATAATAAAATTCACACTTTAATGTTAAAATTAAAAAAAAAAAGATTTACTTACAAAAGTGATAAAATCCACAATAAATGAGGACACATGTTATGACTACAAAAAATAAAGAAAGATGATTTGTGTTGAAAAGTGAGGGATGTTTTGGGGGGAGGGGTTATTTGTAGTTTGGGAGGGGAGAGTTTGTTTAGATGCAGGGATGGGGGAAGAAGAAGGAGAAATAGGGTAGAGCAGAGGAGGTGACGTGGTGATATATTAATGTTTACCAATGGAATCATCAATGGAAATATTCTATAGGTGATATATTAATTATCGGTGAAGGAGACACATCACTATACAAAGAACCCCGTTTGAATCCCTTTACAATTTCATCAGTAAAATCACCTTTAAAAACTTCTACGTCATTGCATTGTTTTGTTTTTTAAAATTCTTTATACTTCATCTGGGATTTTATTGGTATATATCAATAGAATAATTATGTCAGTATATATCGATGATTTTAGCAATGAATTTAAATTGATCGGTAAATATTATCATAAATTACCAACAAAAAAAATTATATCGGTAATTTTACTGGTTTTAGTTGAAATGGTGAATAAACTATCCCAATTAAAAATTAGTACATTACATTTGTTTTCATCTACAAGTCAACGGAAAGCCAACCAGTTCTGGGAGTGGTCAAATCATGCCAAACAGCTGAGAATCTTTACAAGAACTCAAGAAAATTACCATACGGCTTGAGGAAAAGATTTATACTACTGCCACCAATCAAGTATTTGTCTAATGCAAGGTTTGATAATTACGATATTCTCTAGATATGACTATAGACACGCATTTATACATGTACAAATGTGTGTGTAGTGTGCCTATACTTCCTCACCGTTCATTCGATATGCAAGGCTGATTGGGAGTTCGCATCTTTTTGTTAATTCTCTTGACTAGCGTTTCATTTAGAGTGGCAATGTTCAAGTACAAGGCAAGTGTGCAAAAAGAAAATTGTGAATCAATACATAAATAATTAAATTAAAAGAGAGAAGAAAGAAGTATATCCTCACAGAAGATGAAATGATAGAGCATATATCAATTTTCCCCCTTCTCTTGTAACATGGATTGCTCTGAGAGCTAATGTTTTGTTATTGATATCTGATTTCAATCTGATTATCTACATAAAATATGTCTAGAGATTCTTTCGATGGAGATCAAGTCTCAAAACGCCATGCCCACTGCCCCCATGGATCCAGTAGGTAATAATGCTGCCGAGCATTGAATTTCTAAACGTCTTACCTTCAGTTTTTTCTTCTCGATTTGTTATCAAACTCTTTTACATTTTGTTGTTGCATATTGCTATATATATCGCCTTGCTGAAAAAATCTCATGACCACCTCCACGATGCTAATTTTGCAATGCATGTGAAGTGTTTCATCCTTAACTTGTTAAGGAACAAGGACTCTCTGATGCATGACTATTTTATATTTTATGACTGAGATGGTAGATTTTAAAGATTTTCTTGTTTAGGAGGTAAGATTTCACTTTCTTGCCTTTTTTCCGAGAGAAAGTATTTGATCCTTTTTTCATAAATAATAATGTTGTCAAGCATTGAATTTCTAAACATCTTACCTTTTGTTTTGTTTGTCGCGTTGTTATCAAACTCTTTTACATTTTATTGTGGCATACTGCTATGTGTATGGCATGCTTTAAGCAAAAAGTTGAGTAATTGATGAATGTTAGGCAAGAAAATTACAGATTATTTTTTTTTGTCTGCTTCCTCCTTTTCTTTCCCCCACCCCGAAAACTGTCATATTTTGTTTTTCAGCCACCTCTTCTTCCCCCAACCCTGAAAATTATTAGAGGACACTTTTATCCATCCTAATTCCTTTTCTCTTAACTTTATGTGTGAACTGCCGATGTTTCATTTGCCTTCCTTGTTCAGTGCTTCTTTTTTTCTTTGACATGGTTTTCCTTTTTGCCTTTTATCTCGAACATCATCCCATAGCATGCCCCTCAAGTTCAGAATCAAGGGTTGTTTCTACCTATACTATTGTCCACTGATTAGCATCAAGCACGCCAGCAATTGTTATATATCACAGAACATGCAGAATTGCATGGCATCTAATGGAGTTCAAAGTTATGATGGTTTACAAGCGGCACTGCCTCCTCCTGTCTCCGGTGTAACCCAGACTATCCCCAACACTGTTGTCCCGAATCCTAACATGCAGAGTATCCCCGTTGTTTCACACAACTCAGTGGGGATTTCAATGGGGCAAGGGAATCCCTCCACTATGTTTGCCCGGGTATGAGCTTGCCATCTTGAATCATCTCTTTAGAATTTTGTCGAACATAACCTTCTAATAACTACCACATATGTTTGTGCATAAAAAATAAGCTTTGACAAGCACTCTTTCTTGACGCGGTAAATGTAGACAATTTTCTCTTAACCTAGCCTGTAAGCATGGTTGATGGCTTTCTATGAAAAACCACCCTTGAAGCACCAAAATTTATTCCTTCATAATAGGTCCTGGTTGATACGAGCAGCACTTTTGCCTTGCTACTTGCATTGTTAAAATGCTTAATATCAATGTTTAACTTTCATTTACTTTAAGCTTTCTATGAATATATAATATATTTCTCTTTGGATCCAACTAGATTTTAACTCAAGCTAATTGATTACTATGAAGATGATGATTCTGATTAAAAGGTGTTAAATTAATTTGGATGTAATTTTCATTCTATAATAAAATTGAAATTATATAAGAAATTTGTTGGAGCTTCGTTATATATTATATTTACATTTTTTGGATAATATTTTATGTTTTTTAGAGATTTATTTATTGTTTGAATAATTCCACAAATGTTATTTTTTTGTTGTGGTTGTGGATTTAATGTGAACAATTATTAGCTTGAAGATGCTTAGTAATGTTATTATTGTTGTTGTTTTAGGTTGGATTGATTATAAAAAATAATCAAAAGTACTAAAAACATCATCAGAATCACTAACGGAAAGCTCCATTCGATCAACATTTTCATCAGTAATTTTGTATCCTTCTCATTGAAAAGTTGCAGAAGGTTTAGGTCGGACCCTTACCTAAAGCTCATGTTGTGTGTTCTCCCAAGCAAGCACTTTTAACTCAGAACGTTTCTTCTACATATCCCAAACAATAATAGTTAATATCTTATGTGGCTAAACGCACATTCATTCATTTGTTTAACGATTAATTTTCAATGTCTAATAGTTCATCAACTAACTCAATGTCCAAATGTCTAAGCTTTTCGTCGATAATTTTTAATGTCTAAATGTCGATAATTTAAATCAAACATATAGTGGGCATTAGATTTAAAGTATCTTATACTTGGTATTTGGACATACCCAACCTTCCCATACCATATCAACCTTAGCCCAATCACATAACAACTAATTTACCATAATCAAAATCAACCTAAATCTATAAACCAACATCATTTAATATATTTATATAATTTCAATCTAAAGTTTGGAATTACCTAAACTTTTTCCACCCATTACTTGGAAAGCCATGGTTGACCTTAAACATAATTACTTTAACCATACACATTTAAACTCACCATTTCTCTGCTATTGATTTTACGTTCAAGCATATCATTTTTATTTCCACCCAACCAAGTACAGTAAAACACTAAATCAACACAATTAATTAAATTTCTCAAAACCCTCGCCTATAACCATCCTCTTCAGGGGTTTAATTTCAATATTTGATTTTAATTTCTTTTCATTTACTTCCTATTGCACTATTTCCCACACCAACACAACCAAAGGGTTAGTCAAACTTGATTATCAACAATAAAAATAAATAAATTTAATTAAGAAATTTCATATAAAAATAGTTATGGTGAATCAGAAAGAAATCTTAGGATTCATTAAAATCGATTTCAATACTACTTAATTAATTGGTTATTTACTTGTAATTATTATTTTTTATTTAGTAAATTATCTCATTTAATTTTTCAAACAGATCACAATTTAAGAGATTCTGGTAATTATTAATAATTTTTGCAAATCTTCGCAGGATGATACACTACTCATCATTTTATTATTTTTCATGATTTATGCACTTGCATACCTGTGATTTTCACCAACAAATATTAAGTCTTTTTCCTTTCACATGCTTTTTTCCTCACCATTGTCATTAAGCCCTAGTGATAATCCGACGAACTAGATTTTTCTACCCTTAAAAGTGAAAGAGTAAGAATTTGACATATAAAAAATTATGATGTCCATATCACATAGACATTCTATAACTAACATATCCTATATTTATTAGAGTAGCATCACACTAGATCTTGTCATGGCAGCCTGAGAAATTAATTTCCTTGATTGCTATGAAGGTGTTATTAACCTATAATACAATATATGTCTTGGGGTGGTGAATGAATTTTAAGCCTAAGCAAATCATAATACTAAAAATAACATTGATATAATTATCATTATCTATAATAATCTTTCATATCCTCACACTTAACGTAAGTATGAAAAATAGCAGTTCTTTTCAGTTTAAAAGATTGATTTGCTAGTAGATTATTGGTGGGTTTGTATTCCCTTGTCTTTCAATGTTGCCTAGCAAGTGAAAAAAGAGGCCTGATCTTAATGTTGCTAGTAGATTGATTTTAAGCCTGTTCTTTTGCAGATCTTAGTGGTGACTTGAATGTGTGGAAATGTTTTTGTATTGGATTTCTTGATGATGGTGAGCTGTTAAGTTTAATGTGGATTTTACAGATTGACTATGTGATGTTAATATTAAAGTTGTAAACGAAAATTAGAGAAAAAATTTAGAATTATAAAGAGGGATTTAAGAGAGCTTGAACAAAGGGGTTTAAAAACAGTTTGTAACGAAAAACAAAACAGAGGGGGAAATTAATAGAGGATTTAAGTAAGGGATTTAAGGCTATTTTTTAGGCTAGTAAAGGAAAACGAAGAGATTTAGGGTAGTGTATGAAGGGATTTGAATTTTAAACTGTCACTTATAGATTTTGTTGTGGTGGTGTGAAGAAACAAATCTAGGCAAGTTGGCGTGAAGATTGAGCATTAAAAACAAATAAGAAAAATAAGATAAGATATTTGTTTAAAAACAGTTTGCAAATCCATTTAGAATTGACTTTTATTTTTATGCAATCTTTTAACATTTTGGATCTTACAAGTAAGATAAGAAAAATCCATGTAAATAAAAATATCATAAAATAACAAAAAAAACTTTGATTTATGCTTAATCCCTCGATCAAAGAGTGGCAGGTTGGATTGTCATTGCCATTTTCATTCATATATATATATATATACTAACAAAAAAGCTAAATCATATTGTAAAAATATTATTCATCTAGACTCATAGGACTGTAGATTGTGACAGTCCCCTGAGGTTTTTTTTTTTCCTTTCCTCCAGGCTGATAGTTGGGTTGGCTATTGCAGACTGAGCTTGTTAGGGATTTGCTTCGTTCTCTGTTGTTTTTATTAACCTGTGTAAGGTTTGGCTGAGGTAGCCTTTGTACAGTTGTTTTCTTAGATTAGCTACAGTATAGGGAAAGTTATTTGCTGTCAATTCATGCATTAAATAAGTGGTGTTGTGGCATCATTAACCACATCTATGTGCTCTTACACTGGTCTTTCTATAACATTGAGAGTGCTGCTCTAGTTTGCTTGAGAAATATCGTCACGTTTATTTGAGACAAGATTTTGCCCTCTTTGTATATGATTCCATTGTGCAGCAGATTGTGCTTTCCTTTTGGTCTCACCATAAATTGAACATTCCCTATTTTTTTAGTTTACAGCCAAATTCTTTTTCTTTTAGATTATACATTCATTGTGGATCGTGTCTGATTTTACTATGTACTTACACAATATTTCAATTTCTCCTTCATTCTCATGAGTTGTTACCTAAAACTATATACAAAACTATTTTTTTATGCTCGAAAGGTATGGATCAATTGGCACCATATTTTTTTTCTTTTTTTCCTCTCTCTCACCAGCCAACAAAGACAAATCAATTTTTATTTTCTTTCTTCCCTCTCCACACAAGCAACATTGACTCTCTCTTTTCATCTTAACCTTTTCATTTTAATCGATTAATTTTAGGGTTGTTTTGGTTCTGATGAAGAGTTGGCTTTTTTTTCATGCATCAACATCCTTTTGCTTGAAGTTAAGGGATTTTTCAAATATGGTCTTTTGAATTTTTTACCGTAATTATGATAAATTTTGATTTTTCATCTTTCAGCTCTCTTTGAATTAATAAAAAATAGAATCTTTGAATCTATTAATATCAGATATATTGTTTCTTGGGTTTTTGTTTTTTGAGGTGAAGTGAATGTTGGTCGGGATTCATTTCTTGAAATTTGCATTTAGGTGTTTGTAGTGGTGATGTTTTTTAACCAAATTCATAACTTTTTTAGTAATTTTTTTAAACTTCTCCTTTATAAATTGCGTGTTGGAGTCTGAAGAGAAAAGTTGACAGATCATGTATATGCTACAAAGAAGCTTGAGAAATTAGAGATGTTTTGTTGAAGCCAGGTATGTGATTTTGTTAAGCTTTCCTAATAATTTTATTGAATTTCTTTTTCATTATATGCATATTTCCAATTTGAATTTAAATGTTCAAGTTAAACATTTGAAAGTAGAAATGGTTCACAAACTATTTTAGATTGAAGTTCAATTCAACGAATAAGCTAGGGTTTAAGCACATTTATGACTACAGTTTTGAATAGACTTTGAAATATGATTTTGAATTTTCCAGGGAGTGACTTTTTTATCATTCACAATTTTAATTTCTTTTTAGTTTTCATGGATTGTTTTTGAGATAATAATAAAGGCAATATGAATCAAAATTTTGAGTGTGATTATCAATTATAACCTTAGTTTAATCTTCTTTGATTCTAATCACTACTGATTTATTTATTAGTTTTTTTTTCTTTTTATCTCTGATACATCTTTTGATTATTGTGCCCATAATTATTTTACAATGAACCATCTAGAATTAAATTATTGCATTATCCAATGGCTTTTAATCAACCATTTTTTTAGGTTTTTTTTCTTTCATAAGTGGATGGTATTCAGGTGGGAGTGTTCATATTGCTGAAATATTTAATTTAATATTCTATTGTCTCTATATTACACGAATACTATTTTTAGATATTTTCATTGGAGTGAACAAGTTTCATATATTACATGAAAAATATTTTTTATGTCCTCATCTTACTATATGGTTTTAATCAACTCCTTATAGGGACCCATACTCTATAAGTTTGATAAGTATTTTTTTTCATGTAATATATGAAACTTTTATTTATTTAAAAAAATAAATGATATTATTTTAAAAATGGGGGTGGGGGTGGTTAATGAAATAAATAAAAGATATAGGCCTTGACTAGTTTTTTTTTTGCGTTGGTTATTTCAATGGTTTGTTTTTCAATTTTTTATTTTTACTCCTTTGAATCTAGAATTAAAAAGAAAAAGGAGTGAGAAACTTAAATTATTGTAGTTGCCTTTTTTACATTATTTCTAAATGATTAAAATTTCTTTATTGAAACGCGGTGTTGCTAGATATTTGCTGATATGCACAATAGCCTTGCTTTTATTTCTAACCGATATTTTTTATCGATTCGACTATAGCCTGTTTTGTCAAATGCAACTTTAAAGGTAATAATCTAGATCTCAACTCTATTGACTACCATTGCATATTGCTATTCGACTATAGCACTTGTCTTGACTCTTGCTAGCACTACTATATCCGACTCTTTTTAATTTATTAAGCGCTTCTTTGTTATAGAGTCATTAGATGGCAAATATGTTTAATTAAAGATATTATTACTTAACCACTACACTTATTGCCTTTTAATTAATCTAGATCCTACTTGCATGCTAGGAAAGTTCTTTATTTTCCCTCTTGTTATGTGATTTAGGTTTCATGAATTGATAATTGGCATGAAAGTCGTGGCAAGATTGCTTGAAGCAGTGTGCAAGCAATCCAACTAGTATATATATATAGTCTGTGATGCGAGTCTGGTGTTCCCACCACCTATAAAATTAGTACAAGGCTCTAATTTAGATGTTGAACAAGAAAATACGTTGAGCTCATTACAACATACACTTGTAGAATTCTACACAACATAATCCTACGAATAGTTTTTAACCAACCAATGTTAACATATTGATCACTCTTAATTAATCATTACCTACCCAAGTAATTGTTTTTAAACAAAATAAATAGAAGTTAGAGAAATAATGGTAACTCTTAATTAATTGTGTAAATTCAATTACTCGAATTATAAGGTGAATTGGTTTATTAGGTTTTATTGTGCTGAGGGTCAGATAGAAAACATTTAATGTAAAAAATATTAAAGCAAAAAATATCGAGGCTGCAAGGATTTTTTTCAAATAGAAAGTTCACAAGTTAAAAGGCAACAAATAATAAAATTCACATTGCATCTGCTAACTTGTTAACCCTACATAGAACAATATGCCTTGACATTTCTAGTAAAATTTTAGCTCTATCCAACGATCAGGATGAGAATTATGCTTGATAGTGTAAAACAAAACAACATGCATAATTATGCTAGAATCTTAATTTCCTTCTTCAACCTATTCTTAGATCACATTAGAGCTTTTTGGCATTGTTTTTTTAATTAGGCCCAAAAGTCAATTGTGAAACCTCATAATCTAATTATTTTCCTAACTTGAGTTTCAAATTAAACCATGTAGGAGTTTCCTCAACATGAAATAGCCATCTTGACGAGTCGAAAGGCTATATAGATTATCGGTAAAAACACAATTTGGATTTTAAAAAATCAAGATGATAATTTTTTTAAATATTAAGACAATTATATATTAGATCAATCAAGGTTTTGTGACTTAACTTGTCAAACCTGTGACTCGGGTCAGAAACTCTACTAGGTTTAATAACTCTTTAAAAAAAACTATTTTTATTTAATTATATTATAATAAAAATAGATACTCACAAAATCAAGCATTAACCAAATACTAGAATGTTTGTTTGAAACTAAGATAACCTTATAAAAATTAAATCAAATTAAATTATGAAGGTTAATTCAAAATTAATCAATTATTAAAGGATAAAATTTTAAAAAATATAGAAATGAGTCACTTGCTTGTGTTGTTTATATAAATGGTGCAAAAAGGTGATTCCCTATCAAATATTTTAGTGTTGGAGGTTATTACCTCTCGATTCTTTTAGTGATGTTGGTAAATTTTCTTGAAAAAAAGAATTGTTTTCATATCAATTGCTTATATCTATTTAAAATTGTATTAAACTAGTATTTTAGATATGGATCGACAATGATGGAAAGTTACTACATCATTGGTTTGATGATAAAAAAAAGTAACACAATTATACTACTTTTCTAAAAGAACTAGAGTGTTTTTTTTTATATTGTTCATATTAGTAATGAAGAAGGTTAATGTACTTGTTTAATTCACATGATAAAAACTTTATGTTATAGCTCAATTGATTGATATACCTATGTAAACCTATGTGTTGTGAGTTCGAGAGATTGAAGAGGCAATAAAAAAAAGCAATATGTCGTCTATGTTTTTCTATTTTTTAAAAAAGGCTTAATAAAAAATATAAAGTGAGCCTTGCTTTATAAATTTTTATTTGAATTTTAAAAATTGTTTTCAATTATTATATATGTGACATAATTTTATTTTTCGTGAAAGTTCAATTCAAATCACATTTTTATTCTTAGAATTATTAAATATATTTTGAACATAACTTTATCATATTTATGATTTTGTAACTATCAATCACACATAAAAATATAAACATACTATATAACTCCCAAGTCAGGTTTTAAAATTATGATAATAATAATTTTTATCCATACATTAATTTGGATCGACCCTCTTGATTTATGACTCTAGCCTTACTCTAAGTTGATCATCAAATCAAGTTTTAAAACTATGATAATAACCACTTTTATTTTATGTTGATCTAGGTCAGTCCGGGTTGACCCATCTAACACGTGACTCGAGTCTTGTCTTAAGTTGATCCTCTATTCGAGTTTTAAAATTATGATAATAATTATTTTTATCAGTACATTAACCTAACTTAATGATCAACCTCACTCGTGACCTAAGAATTGCCCAAGTCGACCTCTAAATTGAGTTTTAAAATATGATAATAACTATTTTTATTCTTATACTGACACATGTCCATTCGACCAATGCCTCGGGCCTCAACTAGTGACCCGGGCCTTGACTAGTAACCCGAGAGTTATCCTAAATCGACTCTCAAGTTAAGTTTTAAAATTATGACAATAATCATTTTTACCTTTATATGTCTTAGTTGGAAAATTTGGAATTGAGTGTTTTTTATAAGGATATTTTAGGAATAAAAAATAAAAAATAAAAAATATTATCTTTAGAGACATGTCCCTTTTATACCTCACATTTTAAAAGTCTAAAAATTCACTCCAAAATTATTCTAGAGACAAATTTATTTTATGTTTGTCTTTATATTTGTCTCTTTAACCAAACATATTATACCTCTATTGTCTCCATCTTTTTAGAACAATGACCAAACATTACCTAAAAGATCTACAACTGTCAAGGACAAACTTGGCTTTATTTCATCCTTGATTTCTTCTTAGTGATGTCTCACCTATTTGTAAAGGCACTTGATCGAAACTAGTTGATTCAAATGTAGACTTTGAGAAAAAAAATTCATAAATTAATGTTTGAATCTTGGTGTTTTTTATTGGCTTAAAAAAATTACCAACCCACCAAAACCTGCTAATCTAGGATTTTAGCTAAATCAAGCTTTAAGCTAGATATAATAACTATGATTTCATAAAATTACTATGAACTTCCCTTCTATGTCTTCTTATTTACTCATTTGATTTTATAATGTTAAGATGTTCACATTTATATCATGATTAAACTCTAGGATATCATTGAGTTATTGTCTAGGGATAAAAGGGATGAAGACAATAAAGATAAAATTGTGTTGGGTTGAAAAGATAGAGATATAAAAATAATTTATTCATAGGACAATTTTAGAGTGAATTTATGTACTTCCAAAATAGAAGGTACAAATAAGATATATCTTCATAAGCAATATGTATTATTTTTCATTTGTAAAATATCATTGTAAAAAACTTTAAATTTCAAAATTATCCAATTAAAACATGTGAGAATAAAAAAAATTATTATTGTAGTCTTAAAACCTAACTTGGGGGTCGGCTTGGAGTAAGATATGTGATCCTTGTTGATCTAAGTTAAGGTAAGAATAAAAATAGTTATTATCATAGTTGTAAAATCCAACTCGAAGGTTTTGGGTTAACTATTGACTTGGGTTAATAAAATAATAAAAATGATTATTATTATAATTTTAAAACTTAACTTGGAGGTTAACTCAGGGTAATGCCCAAGTCATAGATCATGAGGGTCAACTATGGCTAAATTAGATCAATGTAAGGATAAAAATAATTATTACCATAGTTTTAAAACCTGACTTAAAGGTCGACCTAGGGTAAGCTCATGTCATGGGTTAGGAGGGTTAATGTATGAATAAAAATGATTATTATTATAATTTTAAAATCCGACTCAAGAGTCAACCTGGGGGAAAGCCTAGGCCATAGGTTGTGAAAGGGTTAACTCAGGTTGACCCATTTTTTTTTTTAAAAAGAGAATCAACACAACTTTGTTTTGACCAAGTTGTTTTTTAAAAAAACAAAATAGCAGGCTTTGACCCTTATTTTATCCCGAGTTGACCTGTGTTTTATCCTGAATCAACTCAAGTTTTTTATTGGGTCAATCCTTCTATCCTTTCTTAAATTTGGATTGATCTAGGCCTAGAGATGAGTAGGTCCCGACTTGATCCACTAGCATAATTTATATTTTATAACTAAGGTTATTATAATATTATGAATTTTAACATTTAACACAAAATCTAATTATTTATATAAATATATAAGTTTAAGAATAATACATATTAAAGATAAAATAATTTTTTTTATTTATCATTATCAAATAATATATAAATACAGTTACTACCATATATAATTTTGTTTTCATCTTTGTTTTTGTGTTGTTTCATTTGTATTCATAGTTTTCGTCTTTTTTTTTGTCCATAACAGCAACGAAATACTATATGGTTGATAATATATAGAAACTTCATGTTCAAGCCTTTCTCTTGTCATATATTTTAAATAAATTGAAACACAATTGCGAGAAGAAAAGGAAGAAGATGACATGTGATCCTGGTGCCATGCAACATTTTGACTTAACAATATTTTGATATTTCCATTAATTTATAATATGCAAATATACTTCCACGTTTCTTTTATTTGGATAGAACATTTTTCCAATAGAATTTTTTTTTTAATTCTATGTTCATGATATTTTTTAACAATAAAAATAGCATTGAATGAGTTTATACTTCAATTAAAACTAAAAATGTGTTAAGTACAATGGATTGTACATGATAATATAAATACTAAACAATGTGTAATTAGACTGAATTGAACAAGTTTTTTGATATTTCATGTAGTTTTATGGTTTTTAATAACCTAACAAGTTTTTCCATGTTCTAGGTAAATAATTCATTTTGCTTAAATAATAATAATAATAATAATCACCTTAAAATATTCTAATTAAAAAAGAATATTTCAAGTTTATTTTTAATGATATATATATATATATATTCACTTATTAAAGGGAAGGATAGTGATTTGAGATTAGTTATAGCAACAGAACTTAACGAGGAGCAAGATTCAAAAGAATACTAAATGATAAATTAAAATTTGGCCCATTTACCTTTATTATATAATTTATATTTTTTTTTAAGAAAAGTTTTGACTATATAAGCATGAAACTCATTTAAAAATTTTGCTATAAAAACATAACCTTATATTTTCTTTTTAAAAAAAAAAACCATAAAGTTTCAACTTTTGACCACAAAGTTAACTTTTTAATTAAGATAAAATATTTTTTTATTTACACATTTCTTCAGAAAAAAAAGTTATATAACCCTTTAAAATATTATACCATCCAAGGAGTTGACTATTTAATAAATACTAAATTTTATTTGCAAATTCTTTTGTTTGAGTGAAAACAAAGCTGGTATTTTATATCATAAAATTTGATTTCTCAATGATAAAATCTTTTTAAAATTTATACAATTCATAAGTTCTCAATAATTAATGATTAATAGATATTGCACAATGAAATCAAATAATTTTCTTATCCTATGTTCTGTACACAATATATAAGATTAAATAATTTTGTTTTTATCATTGAGAATTTTTCAATAATTTATTTTAGTCTTTGCATTTTTATTTTTTTGATATTTTATTATTTCTTTGTCATCTAGAACGATTTAGATAGCATTTGTTTACGATGTTGCGACTGTATTTCACTTGAAATATAGCTCCTGCATGTTTGGTTAAGAAAAAAACAGAATTTATTGTTCATGGACTCTGCCTTTTACGACATTTGCAACGCAAGAACGATCAAAGCAGTTTAGGGTTGCTTTTGTTGCAACTATGTTACAACATAGTAAACAATGACGTGCCTTACAGTAGAGGAATAACCATCCATTTCCTTTTCCTTCTCCTTCCTTTTCTCCTTCTTCAAAGCAGCTTAGGGCTGCTTTTGTTGCAGCTGTGTTACAACACAGTAACAATGGCGCGCTTTGCAACAGAGAAATAACCAGCCCTTCCCCTTCTTCTTCTCCTTCGCCTTCTTCTTGTTCTTCTCCTTTATCTCCTTCTTCTTCTACATCATGTCTCCATTGTTTTGCAATGTGAATACTGGAGACTCCACTGCTCACGTTGAAGAATGGTCGAGCGCAGTCCCTCACCACTAGCAAGGGCCGCTACCCCTTCTTCTTCTCTTTCTTATGCACTTCTCCATGTCTCCACTATTCAGCTACATAAACAGTGAAGATCAACTCTATTGTTAATGGGTTAGACTGGGTCTACCCCAAACCAAAATGCATTGAATTAGATCTGTCCTGAACCTAAATGTATTGAACCGGATGTGACATAGTAAAATAAAAAAAAATCTGAAAAGTTTTCTCAATATTGTGTTTTATTTGAAAAACTAATATTTAACATAATTCAATGGCACTACATAATTATATTTGAAGGAAATCATATGATGGCATAACATTTACAGAATTTGATTGCAATCTCAATTTTGTTCCTAATGATATTTTACCTTATGTTGTTGCATGCTCAAGAAACCATAAAAACTGTAGTCCTTATTGAATATATTTCATACATGATGAAATTGAACATAGTTTAATCTGACAATAAAAATACTTTATATAAAATATCATTTATTTCATGATATAATAACAGAAATTAAATCGTTAATATTTCAATTAAAAACCATCAATATTAATATATGTTTTTTTTATTATTTTATAACCTCCATTTGAAAGGTATTTTTTAACCAAATAAATTAAACTACTTTTTATTCCACTACAATTTTAACTAAACATATATTTTTCCAAATCAATCTCAATTAAAAATATTTTTTATAAAATATTTTTTTTCAAATCACAACCACAATAATTACCACAATATCAAGTACACTTACTTCTTAAATAAAAAAAATTATGCAATTAAACTCTTGCATGAACATATTTATTTTAATAAAATTGATCAAATTTTAGTTTTGTAAATTAAAAAATAAATAAAAAATTAAAAAAAATTATACTATCTTTTATTCCGAGGAAAACTTTAGACAAGACAAACATCAGTTCTTATCATGTCCAAAGTGTATATCAACCATTTTACAACTTGCCATGTGCAACAAATATAGCACTACTTGTTTTTATTGTAGAAAACAAAAAACAAAAAAGAAAAAGAAAAAAAAGAAATAGGAATCTGGAAAAGAATAAAGTCATCTACTTCACTTCAGTCCAGCATTCCTCACCTCTCCCGGCCCTCCCTCCCTCCTTCCCTCCTCCGCCTCTCGGAAACCGCCGCCGCCAATACGCGTGCCGGAACCCGCCGCCGCCAATAAGGCTTCAGGTTTGTGCCAGGTGCTTCTTTGCTACCATGTTTTTGTTTTTAAAATTTATGGGTGTTTTCATTTATTTTATTGTAATTATTATTCAGAGACAGAAATTCTATTTTAATAAGTAAAAAAAAAAAAAAAATCGATCCGATGAAATATCTGCTAGTGAACGCAATTCGATTTTAATAAGTAAATTAAAAAAATATATAATCGGATCCGATGAAATCGCTGCTCGTGAACGCAATTCAAAGAAACGCACAATCAGCCGATTCTAATATTTTATTTTTCAATTTCCCCCTTAATTTACATGATATTATCCGATTTTTCTCACAGTTTTTGTTGTAATAATCAAGCCCTGAATTCTTGAGCCCAAATTTATTTTATTTTATTTTTTAGTTTTATTTTTAAGTTGTGAATAGAAATCAATTCAAATCTTTTAGGCTCGATCGATAATTTGTTAATTAGTTTATGCAGCAGCTGGAGTGGAAGAGATATTACTGCCGGAATGACCGAAAAATGAACTGTTTGGTTGATTCTTCTTTTTTGGAATTTACTGAATTCTTCAAAATTATTGTGTTTTTAACTACAAATCGATTTCCTTGGGTTTTAAGCTCGCAAGAAAAGAACTTTAAATTTTATAATTTGGTCATGTTAACGCGAAAAAAATAAAAATAACAGGTCTGCCTCGATAACCCTACATGATATATCTTTCTTTTTAGGACTGCTCAGCTGGTCTTGAGTATGAGGTGAAAGCTTGAGAGCACGTGGAAGAGTAAAACAAATGACTTCGTTCACTTCACCCCAAAGGCGTACCTGTGCATCTAGTTAGGAAGAACATTTTATAACTTACCTCAACGTCGAGCATGGTCAGGGTTATTGTGTTGTCTATTCCGAGAAAGATGTGCCTGTAAATTTAATCTTATTTCAACAAGAGTTGTTAAGTTGATTCTTATCAGTCTGCTCATTAGAGTTGATGATAACATGAAATATTCATGGTTAATGCTCGTCGTTTTGTTCTTCTTTTTCCTAGCTTAAAACATCCTAGACAATCTCTTTGGGATGGGTTATTGTTAGTGGCCTATTCATGTTCTATTTGCTGGGGCTGCTGATATTCATCGGGGATTGAAAAGTCTTGTTTGATGACTTTGTTTTGTTTTCTTCTTCTTTCTTTATTCTTTTGGGGATGTGGTATTCTCCTCGTTCTATTTACACCATTTGCTCCCTACAACATTTAGTCTTTCAGAAAAGTTAATGCATGCATAAATAACAAGAACAGGAGGGGAGGGGGAGGGGGTTGACTCTATGCATTTGCTTGCGAGTAAAAATTGGTAAGCACCTGAAAAAGGTCCGGTGCTGAATCTAAATTGGTAAGATGTGATATACTGATATCCAGAAAGATAACTTAATCTATCTATTGAAGTTAAGCATTTAAATGCGTATACAGTGTTTTTGGAACATTAAATATCTATTTGATCAGAATCTGTGAACCTAAAACCACAATGAATACAAATGCAAGTTTGTCATTGTAAACATTGCATCGATGATGTATCACAAGTGTTGCTAGAAAACGTCAAGTTAAAATTGAAGCACCATGAGTTTCTCTATGGCTTGGTTTACCAACACTCACCGTCTGTTGGTGCGGCAAGTTATGAACTAGCTGGCTAGTTTTTTTGCTTCCTTGGTTTTAGAAGCACCATGAAGATTCAGGCCCAAATCTTGCTTATAATACCTGAATACCCGAATACCCAAGATCCTAGCACCTTGCCCTGAATGGTCGTGTATATTTGTTATGGCTATTCAGATTTTATGCATCCATATTTGGTAGAATTCTTTAATAAAGTACATGCTATTAGATGGAAGTTCTTTTTAAATCTATTCAAGTCTGAATAAACTGATATTCCAATTTTCATGACTTTGATGTGCTCTTACTCTTCTGCTGTTCCTGACTTTCTTTTTAGGGTCTATTCTAACGTGCAATATAATTATTTTTTTTTTTGTGGTGATAGAAGTGATTTTTTTTGGTTGGCCAAAACCCCATGGATGCCAATAATTGGAGGCCCGCTGCCCCAGGTGGAGAACCTGTGATGGACACAGGTGATTGGAGAGCTCAATTGCAGCCTGAGTCACGGCAAAGAATAGTCAACAAAATGTAAGTATCTGTTTGCTAATATGTGCAAGTGCTGCAAAATAGTATATCTTGTATTTAAATGAAAGAAAAAGAGAAGGGCAAAAGGTTAATTAAAATCAGGATGATTGCCATGAGGCAACCTCAAGTATCATACACCTATGTTTTTGTCTTTTTCATTTTTCACTTGTTTCTCACAAGAAGTGAACTTGAGGGAATAAAAAGTGCTGGGAAGTAATTTTTGTTGGAACTTCTTGTGCAACATCTTCTTTTGATGATGACCTCTTGGATGGCTGCATGAAGCTTGTTCCGCTTTAAATTTCAAGGTTAATCTATTGCCATGAGCATTGGTGCTTCAATGTCAACCTTGAGTTGCAACTGAACTTAAATGAATAGTGTTGGACTTGGGCCTTCTATTTGCTATAACTTCTACAGGATTGAAATGATAGTGATCTTAAAGTACAAAAGCAGCAGACAAAAATCAATTAGCCACAATAGTGTATGGTTTCCTAGTTTCTCAGTATAAAGTTGAATGTTTTGGTGATATCTCTACATCCAAAATCATATAGACAGCTACTGTTGGCACTTGCAGTAGCCAATGAGCACTGTAGAGTATATATTGCAGCGTGAGATAAGGTTAACTCTTTGCATTTTCATAAATTAAAAGGATTTCTCTTCTTTTCTTTGTCAATTACAGTGCATGTATAAAAGTTTTCTTACTCAGCGTAAATGCTACTGTAATGTTTTTACAGAGTTGCCCTGGTTTTCAACTAATGCACTTATATATCTTGGAGCATAGCCATAGCCATAAATGGAAGGTTCTTCCAGTTCAAGAAAATTGACCATGAAGCTTGTAACTAAAATTTTAGACAGAAGGGTGGCCAAGTAAAGTCCTACCTCTGGAATAATACAGGGAAAGGAAGTAAAAATAGATGTCTGTATTTTGATGCCATATATTACTTGTCTGACACTCGGCTATATCGTTATTTGTTTTTACTTTTTGTTAATGATTCTGTTGTATATATGATGAGTTCACGGTTCTTTCTCTCTACTGCTAACTTCTCTATACCTGCCTTGTCATTAAAAATTAAATGCAATGTTTTACATGTGCAGAATGGAGACATTAAAGAGGCATCTTCCGTTTACTGGTCAGGAGGGATTACAAGAACTCAAGAAAATTGCCGTGCGGTTTGAGGAAAAGATTTATACTGCCGCGACCAATCAGGTATTCGGCTAATGCTAGGTTCAATAATTTGGATATTCTCTAGACATGAATATACACATGCATAAGTTTGTGGATTCATGCTTGTACACGTGTGTGTAGTGTGTCCACACTTCCTCACTGGTCATTCTATAGAAGTTCTCATCTTTTTGTTAATTCTCATGACAAGTGTTTTTTTTTTTATCATGACCAAGGTCCTTTTCAAGTACAAGGGAAGTGTGCAAAATGCAAATAACGAATCAATACATAAATAATTAAATAAAAAGAGGGGACACAGAAGTATATCCTCACAAAAGATGCAAATACAGAAAGCCTAGCATATTAGAAAGAGCTTATATCTCTTTTCCCCCTTCTCTTCTAACATGGACTGCTCAGAGATCTAATGTTTTGTTATTGATATCTGATTTCAGTCTGACTATCTGCGTAAAATATCTCTGAAGATGCTTACAATGGAGACCAAGTCTCAAAATACCATACCCACTGGCAATGATAACAAACCCCTGGATCCAGGAGGTAATAATGCTATGCAGCCTTCAATGATGCAAACCGTCTCTGGTCTTCAACAGAACCAACCATCTTCTGTTCAACAGTCAACACAACCAATGGTCCAGCAACATCCACAATCAGTCCTCAGGCAGCAGCAACAACCTCAACAGTCAGCTGGTATTCATCAGCAGCAAACACCAATGATGCTGCAGCCACTATTGCCTCCACAACAGCAGCTAATGGGGCAACAATCAAATACCACTAACATGTCGCAAAATCAATTAATTGGACAGCAAAACACTGTTGGGGACTTGCCGCAGCAGAGATTGCTGGGGCAGCAGAATAACCTTCAAAATCTGCAGCAGCAGCAGTTAATGGCTCAACAAAATAACCTCTCAAGCATGCATCAGCAACAGTTGGGCCCTCAAAGTAATGTCACTGGTTTACAGCAACAGCCGTTGCTTGGAGCTCAGCCTCGTAACTCAAGCATGCAATCTAATCAGCCCTGTCTACACATGCTGCAACAGCCCAAGGTTACGCTGCAGCAGCAAGCACAACAAAGTGGAAGTGCTTTGTTGCTGAATCAAGGGCAGCAGTCACACTCACAGCTGCCACAGCAGCAATTGATGGCACAGATTCAATCACAGCCTGGACAGTTGCAACAGCAATCAAATCCATCACAACATGATCTGCAGCAAAGGCTTCAAGCATCAGTCTCCTTGCTTCAACAGTCAAATGTGATTGATCAGCAAAAACAGTTATATCAACCTCAAAGAGCCCTTCCAGAAACGTCCTCAAGTAAGTTTTTCTCATCCTTGCAGCTTTGTGCTTTCATGTTAGATTATAACATATTTATTTAAATTTCTTGAAAATACAATAATGGTTCAAGTCAGTAATGCTCTTTTTGGTAGCTTTATGAGCTACGGCTGCCACTTATGGCATCAGAAATGCCACTGCTATTGGAACCATTGCAATCACACATACATTTGTTACGACGTCATGCCATCCAGTGCATTGCACCAACTGTTCACCTCTCATAATGGTTCAAGTCAGCAATGCTCTTTTGGTAGTTTTATGTGCTACTGATGCCACTGCTATTGAAACCATTGCAATCACACTCATTTGTTACCACATCATGCCCTCCAGCTCGTTGCACCAACTGTTCACCTCTCATTTTGAATTTAACGGACATGAATTTTAAAAATATATGTATAACTGGACAATGCATTTGACGCTAGGGTAACTAATCATCAGCCAATTGATTTTTATGGGAAGAAAGAAATTGGCAAGTGGATTAACTCTGAGGCACTTAAGGTTTGGTGTGCTGATAAATCATCACCTTGCTGGAAAAATCTCATGATCACCTCCTCAATGCTAATTCTGCAAGGCATGTGAAGTGTTTCATCCTTAACTTGTTAAGGAACAAGGACTGTGATGCATGACTATCTATATTTTATGATTGAGATGGTTTTTGAAGATTTTCCTGGTTAGGAGGTAAAGTTTCACTTTCGAGTTTTTCTTCCATGATAAGTTTTTTGAGCCTTTTTTTTTAATATATAATGATCACTTTTTTCTTTTTTTTTGGTTGGGTGGGGGCGTGGTTTCTCTGTCTGTTTGAATGATTACATAACGTTGAGATGGAGTTCCTAGTACTCCAAGCTCCAAGTCCAAAAAGGACATGTATTCCTATGTAGGAAAATACTAATGGTCCTATCTAGGATAGGGAAAACCTAATAAAGCTCCTTATTCTTTAGGAACAATAAAATACTAAATAGAAATAAAACCAAGACCTACAACATTCCATAATTTTCAGAAAGTGTAAAAATTACAGAAATGCCCTTGTGTGCGGAAAACATTAAAAAAATACATGAATTCTATTTTATTTTATTTTGCCTGCATCAAAATTTTTGTAGCGTCCCTAGATTCTACAGCAGAGACTGGACATGCAAATGGTGCTGATTGGCAAGAGGAGATCTACCAAAAGGTAATTTCTGTGGTTTACTGTTCATTAGACGAAGTTCATGTATGTCAGTCTTGCAAGATTTCAATGGAAAAGGTCTCCTGGAATTTGGTACAAGGGAGTTTTATTCAGCTATGGAACTAAGAAACGATAAATTACTGATAAGATGATTAAAGGTAAAATATTCAGATTTCTAGGTCAAGAGGGTTATTTTCTTCGTACTGACACAACAATTCTATTGCAAATCTCTCCCTTTCGATTTTTTCCCTGTATTTCCATACATTTATTGTGTGGTGAGTTATTATTTTATTATTTCCAACAAGTCCAATTGACAATACTTCTTACTGTAATAGACAGACAGACTTGAAAACAAGAGTGAACTGTTTCTGAATGGTCATTGTTATATTTGGTTAAGTGAACAGTTATTTTCAGGATTACAATCAAATTTGTTCTGAAACATGTGACCATGGAAGAAAGGAAAATAAGTGGACCTAATCCATTGAATCATGACCATGTCCAGTATTGTTGAATTTTTTAGAAAACGAGGTTGAAATTCTGAATCGTTTAATGGCTGTTTGATGAAGTTGCAATTCATAACTGCATATTTGATGAAGTCAATTTTTTTGTGCCTGGGAGGGTACTAAAACAGGAATAGGAATGGTTGTTGATAATTAGGATATAAGGGTTATAAATCCCATGTTATAAAGCTAAGAAGTGTTTACCAAAGTCATGACATCCATTGACTTGAGTTAGAACAATAGAAAACAATGGTGATTGTAGTTTGCCATGAGACAAAGTAACTGAACTTGACCAACCCTTGAATCTTGTCTGAAGTGGGAACTACACAATCCTTTGCATCTTTGCATGCAATCAATAATGATATTCTCTTTTGAGTTTTCAGCATTGATTCCACTCTGCTATTTTTATCTCAAACAATATGTGCTGTCCTCTGCCATTTTATTTATTTATTTATTATCAATTCTCTCAAGTTTGCTTATGTTTCTTTCTGACTCTGGCACGTGAAGAAATCAAGCATATGATTGATAATGTCTTGCTGGTTATATGTACTTCCTAGATCAAAGTAATGAAGGAAACGTATTTGCCTGAAATAAATGAAATGTACCAGAGAATTGCTACCAAATTAGAGCAGGTAAATTGTCTCTGTAATGTTTTCCGATTTATTTGCCCACACATGATTCAGAAACCCCCACAGTTGAGCTTTTGTATTAATTTGTTTTCCCCATCAGCATTGCTTGTCACTGTATCATCTGCACTAATTACCTCCCCAACCCCCAACCACCCCACAACCAAGCATTGACACAGAAGAATTGGAATAGAAACATTTTTTTCACTAATGTTTACTAGTTTTGCTACAAAGTGTCAATGCAATTTTTAATTCTCGTGTATGTTAACTTTGCTTTTTCAGTATGACTCTTGTCCGCAACAACCAAAGTCAGAACATCTTGAAAAGCTGAAGGTATTCAAGGTCATGTTGGAGCGCATGATATCATTCTTACAGGTCTCTAAAAACAACATCACACCTACTTTCAAGGATAAATTGGGTTTCTATGAGAAGCAGATTGTAGGTTTTCTAAACCCAAGCAGATACAGGAAGCCTATTCCTAATCTACAGCAAGGACAACCTCCCCAACCTCATATTCAACCTATGCAGCAACCCCAATCTCAAGTTCCTCAATTGCAGTCCCATGAAAATCAACTGAATCCCCAGTTGCAATCAATGAATATGCAAGGTTCTGTACCAAAGATGCAGCAGAACAATATGTCAAGCTTGCTGCATAATTCTCTTTCAACTTTATCTGGGGATTCAACGTCACAATCAAACATGATCAATCCAATACAACCAGGCTCCAATTTAGATTCTGGACAAGGAAATGCACTGAACTCATTGCAGCAGACACCTGTAGGATCTGTACAACAGGATCTCATGAGCATTTCCCAATCAACCAATGTCAACACAATGTCAACACAAAGAGGGGCAAGTTTGCTGCAGCCAAATATTCCCCTTCAGTCGAATTCCAGTATGATTCAACACCAGCATCTAAAACAGCAGCATGAACAACAGATGCTACAAACACAACAGCTTAAACGATTGCAGCAACGCCAGAATTTAATGCAGAATCAACAGATGCAGCAGCAGCAGCAGCAATTACACCAGCAAGCTCCATCTCCTATGCCTGGAGATTCTGACAAACCAGTTTCTGGTATTTCCTCACTCTTAAATACTGGAAATATTGTACACCAACCATTTGTTGCACAAGCACTGGCTCCATCCCTTGCAATTGGCGCTCCTGGGATATCTGCATCACCTTTGCTTGCAGAGTTTACCAGTCCTGATGGTGTTCATGGCGGTGCTTTGACAACTGTTTCTGGCAAGTCAAATGTTACAGAGCAACCACTTGAGTGCTTGATTAAAGCGGTTAGTGATGCTCTCCTTTTGGTTTTACTCCACCCCACCCTTATTTGGGAGGTTTCTGGAAAAGAAAGAAACTTCTTGGTGAATGTGATGGTGATGCTGCAATTTTTTTTCCCAGGTGAAATCTCTGTCTCCCAAAGCACTTAGTGCATCTGTCGGTGACATTGGCTCCGTTGTCAGTATGATTGACAGAATTACTGGTTCTGCAGCTGGTAATGGATCTAAAGCTGCAGCTGGTGAGGATTTGGTAGCAATGACAGGATGTCATCTTCTTTCGTTTTTGTCTTTTTTATTTTTCACGTGTTTCTCACAAGATGGGAACTCGAGGGAATAAAAAGTGCTGGGAAGTAATTTTTGTTGGAACGTCTTGTGTAACATCTTCTTTCGATGATGACCTCTTGGATGGCTGCATGAAGCTTGTTCCGCTTTAAATTTCAAGGTTAATCTATTGCTATGAGCACTGGTGTTTCAATTTGAAACTTGAGTTGCAACTGAACTTAAATGAATAGTGTTGGATTTGGGGCCTTCTATTTGTTTTAACTTGTACAGGGTTGAAGTGGTAGTGATCTTAAAAGTACAAAAGCAGCAGACAAAAATCAATTAGCCACAATATATAGTGTATGGTTTCCTAGTTTCTCACTATAAAGTTGAATGTTTTGGTGATATAATCTCTACATCCAAAATCATATATGGACAGCTACTGCTGGCACTTGCAGTAGCCAATGAACACTGATACATATTGCAGAGTGAGGTGAGGGTAACTCGTTGCATTTTCATAAATTAAAGGGATTTCTCTTCTTTTCTTTGTCAACTACAGTGCATGCATAAAAGTTTTCTTACTCAGAGTAAATGCTATAAATGCTATTGTAATGTTTTCACAGAGACCCCTGTTTTGCAACTAATTCACTTATATATATGGACAAAGAGTAAGGCATCTTCTGAAGAAACAAAGAAATTTAATACCCTAAACTAAGCAGCAGGTAGAAGGCAAAAACGGAACACAAATTTTCAGGAAGGGACAAGCGAAGAAAACCAAAAAGAAAGCAGAGAAACATGCAGACTAAAATTCACTTTCCATTGGAACACTTTATATTTATAATGATCTGATTTCTACGCAACACTAGCATCGAAAGAAGAGGTAATGAGGTGTTTCACTAATTATATCAAATAATACAAATAAACACGCTAAACACATACAACATAATAATTAATAATATAATTAAAATGTTTAAAGTAAATAGATATTGCAAACTTAGTTTTTAATATGGTTAGGTAAGTTTACATCTACACCTCAAGTACTAGCTGTACTTGAGTATTGTACTCTTTTACTAATTTAATTGAAATATATAATGCCCTTGATAAATCCACAATGAGAAATTATATCATTTAAAGTTTTTTTTCTTGATGACAATACATCACTATGCTAGGAATTTATCCAAACTCACAAATGTTTATAATTATAATTTGTTTGCAACAAGATTCATTCTCTAGATTGTACAATTAAAAACTATAATCTCTATAACTCACTCGATAGCACTCAAGATGATTGAAAGTGTGTAAATATAATGACTGTGAGATGTTATACTTATATGTTAGAATATAAAGATTTAATTTAGCACAATTTAAAGAATGTTATGATTGATGATTTTTAATTGATTTTCTTTTGAAATAACTACTATGTTATATATGATTGGAATCTCTTTTTTATTTGTTATAAAAAAACAATATATATATATATATATATTTTAAAAAAACTAATTGTTTATAGTTGTTGAGATGTCTCTAACAACTAAAATAATCTATATGGAACTTAAACAAAAAAAATTCCAATTAAATGGAATTGCATTTAACATATATTATTTCAAATGCAACAAGTACATAGATAACATACAATAAGAAATTTAATATAGTCATTGAATTTAACAAAAGGTATATAGACTTTATTTTTTCTATTAAAATTAAACTATTGAAATTAAACTATTTTTTAAAATTAAACTATTTTTTAAATCATTTTAACAAACAACAAGGAATTTAACATAGTCATAATCAATTTGTTCTTGACAGATTATTTATTACATGTATCACAAATATACACAGAACAAATATATTAGAAAATAAATTATTTTAAGATTGTGAGAACACCTTAAATAGTTCATAAAATTATTGTTCCATTTTACTATAATAATCAAGTTTCCACGTAATATAAAACATACATATAAATTAAAAATCAAAATAAAAATAAAAATTAAATTAAGATAATAATCAACTATTTAGTTTTAAAATAATTTATCATTTGTTTTCTAATACTAATAGTGTGATTTTAATATTATTTTTTAATTTATTTAATAATTTAATTTTGATAGCACAACCAAAAGTTAATAATGAACCAAAATTTATATGATATTTTTTATAAAAAATTTGAAAACAAATATAAAAACAAAAATAATGTCAATTAGAATAATTTTTTCATTAATGAGACCCGCTACAGACCAAGAGGACAGCTTCAATGAAGTCAATGCAAGTGATTACTTGTCGGCTGACATCTCCTTGCGCGCTTAGCACCAGCCAAACCATCTCAATCTGAACATGCACTAGACAAAGTCTATGAAAAGATGCCAGGGAGCCTTAGCAGCCGAGAAGAAAGCGCGGGAACACCCACCGAGCGAGAAGAAATGTGAAAAAACAGGAGACGGAGCGCGATAAAGACTGAAGCCACAGGATTCACATACAGTGAAGCATTCTTAGTTTATATATATATATATATATATATATATATATATATTCTTTTAGTTTTAATATTTGATAGTATAATAAAAGATAAGTTAGAAAATATTTTTCAGTATTTGTTTATATCATGGAAAATAAACTAGAAAATAACTTATTAATATTTTATTTTTTTCAAGTTTATTAAAATAATGAGGATCAAATCTTACAAATTAAAAAGTTGAATGAGAATGAAATTGAAAAAAAAATATAATTTCATAAATTATCTCAAATAAAATAAATAATAATCAAAATAATAGAGATCAAATCTAAAAAATAAAAAAAATTAAAAGATGAAGAAATTAAAATAATAATAATTAACATTTCATAAATTATTTTAAATAAAATAAGTAACAATCAAAAGAATAAGAATCAAATTTGATAGGTAAAAAAATTCACTTAAAAAATACCAAGAGAAAAGTAAAAAACAATTATAAAAATGAGGACCAAAATTAATATAAAAATTAAATTATAAGGGATGAAATTGAAAAAAAATATTCAAAGCAAAATATATATAGCAATCAAAAGTTTGAGTACCAAATTTGATATAATTTACAAATAATATGACATTTCTAATTTTTTCACAACTTTCAAAAAGTGTTTTCCACCCAAAATTAAAAGGAAAACACTTTTCTAAAAGCCAAATCAAATTTTTCTTTAACTAGAAAATATTTTTCGTTAATCAACTTTTCTAATAGTAAACAAATATAAGAAAGTTTAGAAAATGATTTTTTTGAAACTAATTTCTAAAAAACAAATATAGCCTAAATTTTTCATAACTTCTGAAAAATATTTTTTTTTCTAAAAATAAAAGTAAAATATTTTCATGAAAACCAAGTTAAATTTTTTTAATTAAAAAAAATTGTATTGACTAAAAAATATTTTTAATTAATTAATTTTTTTAATGATAAAAAAAACATTTAGAATTTTTTAAGAAACAAAAATGAGCGAATCTGGAAAAGAATAAAGTCGTCTGTCAAGCTATGTTCACTTTGGTCCGACATTCCTCACCTCTCCCCACCTGAGCTCTCTCTCTTTCCTTCCTCCGCCGCCACCTCAACTAAGAAGGCTTCAAATCTCCGCCAGGTGCTTCCTTTTCTATCATGTTTTTTATTTTTAAAATTTACGTTTGCGTTTTCATTTATTTAATTGAAAAGCCTTGTTTTATGACTTTGTTTTGTTTTCTTCTTCTTTCTTTATTCTTTTGAGGATGTAGTGTTCTCCTCTTTCTATTTACACTATTTGCTCCCTACAGCATTTATTCTTTCAGAAAAGTTAATACATACATCAATAACAAGAACAGCAGGGGAGGGGGAGGGGGTGTGACAGTGAAAGAAATGATAGTGATGTTAATGGACCCATGAAAGGGATATCTTGCAGAAACGTTGGACCTTTAATCATGCTTTTTTTTTGTTCCTAAAATAACCGATCAAACGAATGTTGATTATTTCTTTTCTTTTCTTATTTTTTTTTCGATCACAATTCACAGTTAGTCCGAAAGATGAACATATGATGACATGATTCTGTCTGTGGACCCAGCATTCACTTATTAGAACAAGGACCTTAACGCTGGCTTCCTTTACACAGTTTTGTGGAGTGCGGCACTATATAAATCCTCTTGCAAGGGGCAAGTTGCCTCGTAAATTGCTCATCTACTTGTTCGAGATAAGCGATGGGAAAAAACTTCACGAAGAAACTCAACAATACTGTATAAGAGATTTCCCAAGAGGCCAAGTGTGGACATTTCGTTGTAGAGTCCCACCAGGAGGGGGTTCGAAACCAGCCCTTTCTGGGGATTGGTTTTCATTTGTTCGTTCAAAGGACCTCAAGGCCGGCGACGCAATAGAAATTTCCTTGGATTGAGAGAAGGATCAAGCTGGTGGATCACAATTCACAATCAAGGTCAAGAAAACAACTTCAACAACTCGGAACTAGTCCATTCCATTTGCATGCAGAATCTTGTGAGCCCTTGAAAGAATAAATTTTAAATCAATTGCACGTCTCTTGAACAATTAGTGTCAATTATAGTTGTGCGTTCGAGTCTTCATCTTCAAATTGATTGCCTGGAAAATAGATGTTCTTGGCAGTTAACAGGTCCAGATGGTATTCAGCATCAAAACAATGGACACCAAAATGGTTTAATTTCTTCTGATAGTAATGATTGTCCCCATAACTGGAACAGTATATTAGTTAGTTCTACACCATGATGAGTGGTCTTCGTTTTCATTTTAGTTGCTGCGGAAACACACGTTGACAGAGAAGATGCAAATAAACACGTGTTCTTCAAATTCAAACATGCCCTAATCTATCTATTGAAGATGTGATATACTGATATCTAGAGATGTAACTTAGTCTATCTATTGAAGTAAAGCATTTAAATGCGTATACAATGTTTTTGGAACATTAAATATCTATTTGATCAGAATCTGTGAACCTAATACCACAATGAACACAATGCAAGTTTGTCATTGTAAACATTGCATCGATGATGTGTGCATAACTGCTGGCAAATTACCTCACGCAGGCCTCCATGAGGTGCTTTTAAATAGAATTCAGATGGGTCCTCTGTATTGAAGCATTATGATCCACTATACTTTGTATTATTCTTGTGTGTTTATTATATTGAAATCTATTATATAAAATTCATTATAGTTATATATATATATATATATACACAACAAAAATAACAAACATCAACTGTTAAAGATTCACAACACAACAATTTATCTTATCCTTCTTAAAGCCATTTTCTCCCTTATTCTACTACTCTGATGGGGACAATAGGTGATGCAGGCATAAACTAGAAAGGCAGCAAACAAACACAAAGAATCTTTGAGCAGCTTGGAGTTCCTGGATTTGAGCGGCAACAATATTAACAAATTGGTAACCTCAAGAGATAAGGAGCACATTCACATCATGATTGATGAGAATTTCTTCAGCGAAGTAATTGGTATGGCAACTTCACTTTCAGAGATTATTCTGCATGTTCTACTGTTTTTATTCATGAATATATATTTTCATGGCAACAATTGCTATGAAACAATGCACCATCTCTTCAACTAAAGAGCTTTCCTTTATATTTGCAGCTGTAATTTGGGATAGCAATGTCTCTGGCATGAAGTTTGGATGGCTTGATCTCTTTGCATCAAGAAGGTCAAGTTACCTAAATGTATTATTCACAAGGTGACTACAAGTAGACACATTGGATGGTGCTGGGCCCATCAAAGCTTGATCTGTTTTTTGTTTGTTGTTCAATTGAGGATTTGTAGATTGTTCCGTTCGATCCTCTGTCCTTGGATCATGTATGGGTGTTTTGACATGTACTAAAAAAATAAAGTACTTTCCATTATTAGTGCTTTATTTTTCAATCCAAACCTTGGTTTTTTACCTGGATAAATTTGAATCTGATATAAGTACCAAAATCTAGTGTTTCAGGTACTGTGTCATCTTGCCTGTTCTTTTGGAGCTTTCTCAGTTGCCATTACTTTTTTTTATCTTGTAATGAAGTCTTGGAAACATTTTTCATGCTTAACTTTATATATTTCCATTTTCAGATTGCTATAGTTAAAGTTTTGTTTGAAATTCGTTTATAGAGTGGAAAGAGCTATTGGAAGTATGGATGCAAATGAAGATGGTTTGTTAGATCTTTGACTCTTCATTTTGAATCAATCTAGATTACAATGCTTCCTGTTGCCATTATAATTTGCCAGGGAAAGAAAGAATATGCTCTTTCATTATGAGTCTACTTCTACAGAAATATGATGATATTCTATGACACTGACTCAGGGTTGAAGAAGAAAGCTATGCAGACATGCACTATCTAGAGAGGTTATGCTCAATCATTGTCGCAATTATTGCATGGAGCCTGTAGATCATTTTAGGCCTACAGAATCCCACATGGTGCGGCGCTACACTGCCGTCAACATGCTACCTCACGATCCCCCATCATAGTACCTTCACTACCACGGCCACTGTTACTGGCCTGTCACCTTCTAGATTCGCCACCGTAACCATTTCTTACATACTGTTATTTATATATATATATCATGACAAATTTCGTTTGCTGTTCCTTATGATCCACAATCCATGTTTGTTATTATTATTACAATTATTATTAAGAATTGAAGCTGCAAAGTGGGGGAAAGAGAAAGAAAGACTTACCTGGAGCTGCTACTTAAAGACCAAGACGATGGTGATGGAGGGCTGGCTAACCAATGTTACTTTCTTCCCCTCTACTTCTGTTTTTCGTTCACTTCACCTCTGTTCTTGCTTTTCTCTGCTTGTTTTCTCTCTCTCTCTCTTTTTATATATATATATATCTCTTGTTCCCTCTGTCTCTCCCTGTTATTGTTCCTCTTTGTCTCTCTCTGTGTTATCTGTGTTCCTTCATTTTTTGTCTGTGTTTTTTTGTATTATTTGTTTGAGGTTCTCCCCTTCTTTGTGGCTTTTCTCTGTTCGTCCTGGTTTCTCTGGGTTTGTATTTGGTTGGTTGGATCAACAACCTACGGTAAGGGGAAGTTGAAGTTCCCTTTCGCTGGAGTAAGGTCACAAGTCTCTCTGTCTTCTCTCTGTCTCTGTTTTTCTTCCCGCCTGCCTCGTCGTCTCTGTGTGTTGTGGTCTTATAGGGCAAGAGAATGCCCCTTCATCTCTCCCAGGATAGTGTGGAGATTAGCACGGTTCAGTCGTGCATGATAAAAGAAGGATACCCATTACTGGACTGTTAGTGTCACATCGTGGGGGATACGTGACAATGATCTGCTGCCGTTTCCTTTGAATCGGTGGGATGAAGGAGATGAATAGCTTGTTTTGAGACGGCGCTGTTTTCACCTGAAATGGCTATTTTAATTTTGCCTCTGCATTAGCTTTCGGTGTCATTTACAAAACCGTTCTTGATTTTCAATTTCATTAATTTAGTTTTTAATTGCTATTCAACTTTTAATTCTTTTAAAATTATTTTTTAAAAAATCAATTGCAATCTATTCACTTTGATTTTTGGATTTTAATTTCTTACAATATTGATTTAAATCAGCCCCAAATTTTAGTATTTTTTCAAGTAAGCTCTCACTTTTATTAATTAACTAATTCAAAATTTATTTAAGTCCTCAAACTTATTAATTTTTCTAATATCTGAACAAATTAACTTTTAAATTTATAATCACATCTTTATTGGTCCTTAAATTCCCAATTTGTGTTTGTGTTGATCCAATTCTCAAATTAATATTATTATTATTTTTTATTTAATTTTTTTTAAAAAAATAAAGATTAGGTTATAACACATTATATATCGTTGGTTTAAAGGAACCGATTGATTTACACATATCGGATTACAAATCGAGAGGAATCATGGTTATTTTATAAAACTGCCAAAGACTTTCAAGACCAAAGTTATTCCATAGATGTTGTATTTATGCGTGTTTGAAATCTGAATCACAGTGTTTATTCTTACTGGGATATATAGGCTTTCTACCTGTTCCGGAAATTCTGTGAGCAATCTTCCTTTACCAATATATATATATATATATATATATATATAAAGGGCTGTCCAAATACTCGTTCTCGATCGGGACTCTACTTCAGTGAAAGCCTATAAAACTGGATGAGTAATTGGACTGCAGTATGCCTAACCTGGAGTATAGTACTGAGCAGATTTGTCCATGAATCTTTGAGTTCTAGACTTGCTGCTTTGAGCTTCTTCCACAAGCTTTGCTATTTTAGTTACCACACAGTCTTCAGCTAAAGCAGTAGTTCTCACACTGACATTACCTGAAACTGATAAACACCCCATTGACTCTCAAGTTAATAGTTCCAACCCACACTACGGAATCCACTTGTTTGGCAACCGGAAATGACTCTCAAGTTAAACCCTAGATATTTGTCACACAATAAATAGGTCATCAAATCACAAATCTCGAGCAAATCACCCGCACACAAACCTTTCATTAAGAATGCTATACATTCTTCACACAACAGGTAGTCCCCATCCCCAGTAACACCATTTTTTAAAACAAAGAGAAAACCATTATTCTCAAAATAATTGAGTTTTGAAATATCTACAAGAATAACCACCTCATGATTTGTTAATATCAAAAACTTATTAGTGGATTTTTCTCGAAAGGCTTTTATATATATATATATAAAAACTTATTTTCTAAAGTTCCTTACAAGACGTTATGTATATGATAATGATAATTGTTATAAGTCAATTTTGATCCTGTTTTTTAAAATATTTTTTAAAATTTAGATATAGCAAAAAAAAACAATAAAAAACTATAAAATTATATTTTTGATACATTCATCATTTTCAATGTTTTTTCAAAAGAATTTAAAATTTAAAATTTTGTTTTAATGCTGTCAACTATTAACATGTTTATTTTAATATTTTTGATTAATTTTTTTCATCGGTTGACGTTGCTATTTTTTTAAAAAAATCAAAATATAAAACTAAATAGGAAAAGAATGAAAAAAAAAGGATCAAATTCATAAAAAAAGAAAATAAAGAACTAAAGTGAATTTAAATTTATTGAGAACCAAGCAATTAAAAAAACTAAAAAAATTACCTATAAATATTAAAAAATTCTGGCAAAGAGAGGAGGCCATAAAAAATTAACCTAAAAATAGGGGAGCCACTAAAAATTACTAACCCAGCCGCCACTCACACAAAAGCACCTGACCCTTCGTCTCCTCCCATTCCAAGCTATCTTCATTGCCTTCATAAACCTATTTTTCATCAACAAAAATCATCCCTCAGTCCATTATTGTCAAAAACATAAAACACAGTATAAAAATATATCTCTCTCACAGTCTTCTTCCCTATCACTGTCGACACCATGCCAGGAGCAAGCCAAGCTTTTCCATTTCTTCCTCCTGGTCAACAGCAATACCAGTGGCAGCCAACACTCCCACAGAGGTAGTTCCTTTTATACCCAAATACACCAGCCACAGCAGCTCCACCATAAACGATTTCCCCTCATTTTTTCATTGTAAACGACCAAAAGCCACATAAAAACTTCATCTTCCCTAAATTTTCTTCTTTCCCACCGCGACTGCCACTGCCTTAGCGGTGGAAAAGAAACAGCAGTGCCACGTTGTCCTGCCACTTTCAGCCTCATTCCCAAGGCTAGATATAAATGATATTGCATCCTGAAATTTAAATTCATTACGGTAGGAGTATTTTTATATTTAAATAAAGATTAAATATTACTTAAAAAACTTTGTTGATGCATAAACCCACGCTAGTAAGTGAATGATTTATATGCCTTTCAAGCGTTATGTGCAAGGTTATCTAGTTATTAAACACTACCTTTCACGGAAACATTTTAATTATCTTAGCAGTATTTGAATTGTCTTATTATTTTTCCTAGGTGCAAGATTGCCTAGTTAATAAACACTCTGGCTTGGTGTTGGGAGCACTTTTTCCCCCCTCATTTATCCTTTTTTATTTTAAATTCTATCTTATAAAATTTCAAAGCAACTCTTTAATTTAATTTTTTTATATTTTATCTTTATTTTTTAATTTAATTTATTTGAAATAATTCATAAATTTAGAATTCTTTTTTATTTTTATTCTCTTTTAATTTTAGTCTTTATTCTTTTGACTTTGATTTATTTTATTTGAGATGATTTCTTAAATTATTTTTTTTATATAATTTTATCCTTTTTAGGTTTTCTTTCCTAGCAAATTTAATCTTCATTCTTTTAATTATTGTTTTTTTTCACTTGATAATTTTTTAAATTGATTTTTTCTCTAATTTTATCCTTCAACATTAAATTAGTTGGGAATTAAGTTCTCATTCTTTTGATTTCTATTTGTTTTATTTTAGATAATATTTTAAATTGATTTTTTTATATAATTTCATTCTCATTTCATTTTCCTATTAAATTTGATCATCATTCTTTTTATTGTTACTTTTTCACTTTGATAGTTTTTTTTTTTTTAAATTTATCATTAAACATTAAATTGATTGGGAGTTAAACTTATTGATTGAACCCATGTTTATGATTTCACGCTTACGAGTTTTAAAGATTAACTTAAGGTTTGCCTATGTTTGCTTGTTTTTTTTATAAAAAGAACTTGTATTTTTTTTTAATTTCATCCTTCAATATTTATTCAATTGGATATCGAGCTCCGTTATTTTTATTTATTTTCTTTCTATATAATTTTTTGCTAATTTTAAAAATAGTATGGGTTATCTTAATTCTTTTTATTTATCTTTCTATATTGAATTTATTTTGATAAATTTTTTAAATTATTTTTTTTTCTATTTCATTTTTCAATATTATACTTGTTGGTAACTAATTTTCTTTTTTAGTTACACCCTTCAAGAATTAAGATTTTTTATATTGGGCTTCATTATTTTCTTCTATCCTTTATATTTCCTTATCCTGGTCTCATCATATAGACCATGAGTTTGACAAGTTAGTCTAAGTTGGTTTGAATTTTTTTTATAAAATTTTTTAATTTAATATTTATTACATTTTATCTTTTAGCTTTAAATTGTTTTAGAGTTAAGCTTAATGATCTTTTCTAAATTGCTGATTTTTTTTGTCCTTTTGTTTTTCAATTTCATCCCTCTATGTTTGATTTATTTAGAATTGGACTTTAGATTTTTTTTTTAAAAAAAAATTATTAGCTTATCTTGGTCTCATGATATGATTTGTATATTTCACATGCTAATTCAAGTTGACTAGAGTAAGTTTTTTTTTCTTTTTTTTTTTAAATTTAATTGGTTGGAATCATAGCTTATTGTCTTTTTTTTTTTTTGTTTCGGTGACCTTTTTTTTCAGGTTCCTATTATTTATATTTTAAAAATTGTACCATTAACTATGGTTATTTGTTCTTTTATTATATATCTAACTAGATTACACATGTTTTTTTTTCTCAATTAGATCTAAATCTATATTCCGAGTTATTTTTTTTTAACTTCATTAAAACATACTTGCATCACTAAGGAGTTTTTTGAACAAATAAAAAAGAACCGGACTTGCGTAGTAGCATGAAACCATAAAATTATTACTTATACATGTGTATGTTTTATGGTAGTTTTTGTAGTTAAAGTTTAAAAAAGTTAGTTTTTAAAAATTATTTTTTTTTATTGTGGTATAATTGATTTAAATAAGTGTTTGATTAAAACAAGTGTTTGGTTAAAACTATGATTAAAAATATTTTTAAATAAATAGTAAGTCATAATTGTTTCTTGGAATTGTTTTCAGCCACGTGGATTAATAATTATTAAGGATAATGAATTATAATTTACTTTAGCATGTTAACTTTCCTTCAATGTTGATTTAATACAATGAAAGAATTATATTGTTACATGTTATAAAAGTTAACTCTTAAACACATAAAGATGAATTAAAAACGATTACGTCAAAAGCACATGAGTTTATATATATAATTAAAGTTAAATTAAAAAAATTATATCATGTATTAAATTTATCCAACAAAAACTACAAGTGCTTTGATTTTTTAAATGCGTAACATTATCAGATAAAATATTATCAAAAATAAAATTAAAATTGCAATTAAATTCTGTAAATATTACATCATCAAATGATTTTTTTAATTTTTTAAATAAAATATAATTAAAAATTAAAATTAAAATTAAAATTTAATTTTTTAAAATAAATTAGATTGAATTCAATACATTTAATTTTAAATCAGACTCTCTACCGAAATAATAAAGAGTGACTTACTATTCAGGGAAGAGTGACTGTAACACAGGATGCTGGGAAGCAATTCTCAGTTCATGTCATGTCGTTTCTGCTGGGGGTGTTTTTGGTTTTTCCTTTTTTTAGTGATGACTTATCAGTTCTTGAGAGCCTTCATCGCAAGGACTTTTCTTGAGGCTGGGTCTTGAATTTCCAATTAGCTCTTTATTTCTTATTTTCTTTTGCTTTCAAGTCTCGGCATCACTCTTTGGCCATTTGTTGCTACGTCATCAGTGCACGAAGTCTTTTTTTTTTTCTTCTTCCATTGGTTCTTCTCTTATCCTTGGGTTAATTTCCCATGCTTTCACATATTTTTATGGGTTGGAGTAGACAGATTCATTTGCATTTTGTCGTGGTTTTCTTTCATGCCTCTTTCTTTGGTTTTCTTTTTTTTGCTTTCTTTTCTGTTCATATGGTTTTCTACCATTGGTGCTCATTTTTGTAGAGCTCCTCTTCCTTTAGTTTGATTTACATGCTTTTGTTTTTTATTTTTTTCTGTTGATTTCATTGAGTTTATCTTCCTGATTTTTTAGTTTCTTTTCTTTTAATGTCGGTTTGTGTTGGTTATCATCACTATCTCTGCACGATCTTTTTTCAGTTGGTTTGCTGGAGCTTTTCATTCCTTAGTGGATGTTCTTCTTTCCCAGGTTCTTTCTCTTTTCATTGCCTTTTGGTTTTCGTCGTATTCATTATGTCATTCTGCTAGAGGTTTTGAGTTTTAGTTGAATGTTCATTACAAAAAAAAAAGAGACGTGTGGATTAGAACAGTTCTTCATTATGTTTTTAATGCATAAACCCACTTGGCCTCACCTTAGGTTTCTTCCCAACATTGGGAGAGGTTATTCTGTTGAAGTTGAGCTAATGTGGTGGCTATTTCTCTCTATGATTGGGACAACAACATTATGTATTTAATACATAAACCCACTTGGAGGTTATTCTGTTGAGTTGAAGTAATGAACAAACACAACACCAGAAGTTTATTGGAAATCCAAAGGATGAGAGAAATTGTTGTAGATCAGAGTCCTTATGTGGTCGAAGCAATTAGCATGTGGCCATTTTGTGTTCCAATTTCTGGTGTTGTGTTTGTCCATTACTTTAATGCTTTTTCTATTTTGATTCAAAAAACAAGAAAAATATTAAAATTTGGGTCCGCGTGAATTTTCACCTCGGATTTGATATTATTGATTCTTCTTTCTCTCTTGGTTGTTGAATTTTGCAGAGGTGTCAGCACTTCAGGTCATTCTGCAGTCTACTAGCTTGGATCTCGGGTGGAAGGATAACTCACCGATAATATGGGAACCTATTGATTTTTTTAGAGGGCTTTCAGACATTAATTTGAGGTTAATTAGTCTTACTTCGGGTGACTTATTGGATCTTAAAACATTGTAAACTTAACTCTGACTTTTCCTGTTGTTTTCATTTGATTTCAGTTTTTTTTTTTTCTCATTCCATTGCAATTTCCTTTAGGGATTTTTGCACAGCACATCACTTGCTGGAGAGATACAGAACTTGGAAAGCCTTCAACATCTCGAGAAATCGTATGCACGCATCACTTGCTAGCATCAATTTTCAACTGAAAACAAAATCCTGAGTAGCTTATGTTGTTCTTAGTAATGATATGGAAGAAAAAGAGGTCTAACTTCCATAATTTTGGTTAATATGCTGCCTATTAGATGGTAGACTAACCAATCCTGCTGGTGAACCTGTTATTAAGAGTGTTAGGACTAAAGAAGAAGGGAGAGACAATGGGGAGGCTCTTCTTTCTCCTTTATAAATTTTAGCTACTGTTTCCAATGAAAAAGCCATAGGTAGTATCCAGCTTTCTTATGCAAAAAAATCTGTTGATTCTTTAGCGTTCATGAGATGTCATGTGATATGTGATGGCGACAAATTCTGCTAGTCCTAGTGGAGTTGTAGGCTTTGTATATTTATATTTCATATATTCTTGAGAAATTCCTTGCTCTTATAAGCTCTAGATATTACTTTGTTAAATAAGTGAATCATATGTCAACATTTATCTCTGTAGGAGTGTAATTTGCAATTCAATTGACTTTAAACCTACCCTATTTTTTTCAATGTTGCAATAGTTACAATAACTATATTCTTTTTCACTTATAATTTGTGTCCAAGGCATGAAACTCAAATGCCATTTATGTCAAAACTAGCATAAGCTGGTGAGGTACTGATTCACCTGTAAAAGACTGGTTACAAGAAACAAAATGGTTACTGGGGCTCCTAGATCTCAAATTTCTTAGAGAAATTTCATCCTGCAAGCATCTTAGAAATTAACCCTCTACAAAGTATGATAGGGATGCAGATATTCTCCATTCATTGTGTAGATGTAAAATTCAATTTTTTATATAAATTATAATTAGGTTTATGTTTTCGATGTTAGGTTTCCTGTTTGTTGTTTAATGATCTCTCATGGTTTAGATATTGCTGAGGAAAAAATGACTACAATAATGATTGATATCTGCAACCTTTCCCTATTTATTGAATCCCAGTTTTAAAGAGTTTGACCAACAACCTGTTAGAATACTGGTATACAAACCCGACAAGACAAAATATAAGGAATAAGATAAAATGAGAAATGAAATACATAAGAATTTACATGATTCACCCAATTAGGGCTACGTCCACAAGCAAGTATAGAAGGATTTTACTAAATAATATGGGAATTACAACCTCTCTCATATAATAGGAGAACAACTAAGAATCTCTCTATTATTAAGAGAAAACACCTCACAATTTTATTAGATTACTCTCTCTTCACTCTCTTGTTCTTCTCTTTATTTTGGTGTGCAAAATAAGCTTGGAGGCATTGCCTATTTATAGGAAGAGTGAGGGGATAAAGACCATAAATCATGGCACCAATTATGCCACAAATTATACTAATAACTCATCTCCACTTATACTCCATCAATTATATCAACAACTCATCTCTAATTATACCAACAACTCCACTTTTTTTTCTTCCACTAATTAATTAAGTGATGACTTTTTATTCTTCCACTTGAATACTTTGATGATTTAATCAAGTCATCATAATTAATCATCTATGATTTTTCTATTCTTTTTATACTTGTCATCTTCATGCTGTTTATGTTTCTGCTAGGGCATAAGAGGATCTGCACCATATATACTCATCAATGTTGACCTGTTTCGTCAAAGCATCTGCTGGGTTTTTCTTTGTGTGAACCTTCTGAAAATCCACACTTCCATTTTCCACCACTTCGCGAACAAAGTGATACTTAACATTTATGTGTTTTGTTCTTGAATGAAACATTGGATTCCTTACAATATGCAAGACACTTTGACTATCACAATACAAAAGAATATTCTCTTGTTTGTGCTCGAACTCCTCCATAAGTTTCTTCATCCATATTGCTTATTTACAAGCTTGTGTAGCTGCCATATACTCGGCTTCTATTATGGATAACGCTACAACAATCTAAGAAAATCAATATACTATCACAATACTAAAATATTGATGTCTTCTTCTAAGTGCAAGAGTGTCGAATTAATAAATAACCCAGCAAGACCGGGGTCAAACCATAAAGAGGTTAATTATACAAATTATAGACAACAATTATAAACAACAACAATAGTAACAATAACAACAACAATAATAATAATAGCAATAATACTACTACTACTAATAGTAATAGTAGTAGTAATAACAATAACAATAACAATAACAACAACAATAATAATAATAGCAATAATACTACTACTACTAATAGTAATAGTAGTAGTAATAACAATAACAATAACAATAACAACAACAATAATAATAATAGCAATAATACTACTACTACTAATAGTAATAGTAGTAGTAATAACAATAACAATAACAATAACAACAACAATAATAATAATAAAGAAAAAGAAGGAGAAGAAGAAGAAGATGATGAGAACTTTAAAATAAAATATTAATATAATGATTGAACAATGATAATAACAAATGTCAAGGTTAGAAGTTCCACTAATGTTATGTCAAACAAGTATAGTATAAACTCTTATTATTCAATTAGAAACCACATATAAAGGAGGTTCTAATCAGATTATAAATTGTTAACATGATTACATTAATCATCTTATTCGATTAATGCTAATACTTATAAATCTTGTTAAGCATTCATGATTATAACTTATATTAACAACAAATCAAGTTCCTTTAATAGCTCAAGTGTTGGTTATACCATACAATATGAACTATGAAAGTGTTAAGCATTTGTTGTACCAAGTTTTATACAACATAAATCAAAATTAGTCATTTAACAAGCAAAGTATTGAAGATTGAACAAGATAACAAACACAAAACATGTTAGTATCAAACATTAAAGTCCATATTAAGTTTACATTATACTTATTCTTACACCATTAATGTAACCTTTTCACCTTGACATAATAAACTTAACTAAACATAATAAAGGAAAGAAAAATAAATAAATAAAATAAGAACATAAATAAGATAAGAGTTAACTAAGTAAAGGAAAAGAAATGAAAGGCATAAACTTGATATTAATAAAAGCAAAGCATAAACATTACAAAAAATATAAAGAGAGAAAGCAAAAACATGATCTTGATCTAGAGACCAAGATGCCTAAATGCATGGCAAATGCCTCCTTTTATAGGCTAAAATTGAGAACTATTGATTTGATGACTAATTGATAAGTGGGTGGCCAACTCTTGACTTGGTGACAATCCTTATCTTCTCTTGTCTGCCCAAAACGTCATTGATAACATCAAAATTGGAGCCACTTGAAAATATAAAAGTTGTAGGAAATGGTCTCGGCTTTCTTGTGTAAACAATTCAGCTCATTTGAACATCTAGAACTCCAGATATGGGCTAAATATTGAACAGTGCTCGGGCTGGAAGATAGATTCGGACTTCTTTGTTGTTGCTCTAATTTAGACTTGAAAATGGTCTTTTTAGATCTTGGACTTCATATGAAAGTTGTAGGCCTATGTCTTACATTTCCATCCATATAAAGTGGACCTAAATCTAAGATCTACAGCTCCAAATATGATCCAATTACCGAACAGTGTTCCGGTATGGACTACACCGACATCTCTTTTCTAAATTTGGTCATCTCTTTGTCCTTTCAATTTCAGTTCTTAAATTCATCAATCAATCCTGTCATTTATGTGATGGGCCTGTATTTAAAATGAATATTTACCATAAATTAAAAGTATCTTATATTATTAGATATATTATTATAAAACATGCTTTAGTTAAGGAGTTATTGATACTTCAAGTACAAAATGATGATATAAAACCTTGATAAAAATGCACTTTTAAGTACTAATCAGTTAGTAATAACATTTTCATCTATCTCATTTCATTTTGCATTATCAATGATCTCCTCAGGCCGATCCCCAATTGTTGTTAAGCAATTGTCTTTCCTTAAGATTGCCTTGATTCTCATTTTTCATAGTGAGAAATTACTGCCATTTTATTCACTGTGATCTATTCAACTATCACCGTTTCACATATTTGTAATGTGTACATAAATAATATCGTGTGAATAATACTTCACTAAATAAGTTCTAGGAAAGATTAGAGGGGTTACTAATGGTCCCGCTTAAAACCCAATCTCCTTAGACAGAACTTCCTAGACTGTATTTGATCACCAAACTGACTTTCTATATACACCAACAGTAATGTATATGAACAATACCATATAGATGAATGGTGCTTATAAGTGAATAGTGTCGTAAACATGAATAATAAAAGTATACACAAATAACTTTTATGTATTAAAAACACCAACCATGAAGGTTCTGATACCACAGTTAGGATACTGGCATGCAAACCCGATAAGATAAAAGGTAAGGAATATGATAAAATGAGAAATGAAACATACAAGATTTTATGTGGCTCACCCAATTAGGGCTACGTTCATAGGCAAGTATAGAAAGATTTTACTAGGTAATATGAGAATTATAACCTCTCTCATATAATAGGAGAACAACCAAGAATCTTTTTATTGTTAGGAGCAAAGACCTCATTTACAAACGTTGGGCCAATAGCTCCCAAGTTAGTTAACTTTAAGGTATTAGGTGTTAAAACACCCATTCGGGCTTAATTGTTTAGGTTAGTGAGGCTACAAAACCAAACTTATCTATATTTTTATTATCATCATTTTTTTTTGTTTTTTTTTTAAATTATATACTATCACTTTCCCTTAGTTGTTACCTTTAACAAAAGAACATAAATAATATAATAATCCAATATGCAACCCACAATCATATGTTAAAGTGTATGTGTGAAAATCAAGGTTTAAGAATACATATAAAATTAATATATGAACATAATTAATTGATAATAATACGAGAGTTTATAAACCTGAATATTTCAAGAAGTATTATAATAGACCTTGTTAAGAATGGTTAAATCAGTATATGAGCAGAATTAAGTGAAAATAATACGAGAGTTTGTAAACCTGAATATTTCAGGAAGTATTATAATAGACCTTGTTAAGAATGGTTACTAAGATGCGTCTTAAGAGTCACTTTAATAAAAAAGCTCCTTTATTCTACCATCATAGTAACAACGATTATGCGCATGCTTTATGAAATAAAAAATATTTTTTTATCAATAACTACTCTGTCCCCTTAACCAAAACGGGACAGTGTCCTCAATGTTCTAAAGTAGAAAGATAGAGTATAGAAGATATCACCTGAAATAATAAATATTGACAAACCTAAAATACACTTAAACAAAAATAAGAAATAACAAAACATAATAATAAAACAAAAAGACACAAAAATTCACAAATGAAGACTCAAATCCAATCTAAGCTTTTTACGGCTTTCCTTAGATGACCAATTTATATGACTCATGGAGATATCAATTACAGGAATGAAAGATTGTAGTTGGTCAATCAATTGTTCAACAGTAGTAGTAGAGATTATGATCTGTCGTGTATAAGATGTTAAAAATTCCTGTCCCACAGCATAATAAAAAAAAAAAGATAACAACTTATCATAATAACAAACCTATGGGTTTATGGTGAATGTGCAGTTGGGCCCAAGAGAAAATATGAAAGATCTCTTCTAATGTGCCTAGACCACCTAGTAAGGTAATAAAGGCATCAGCATGGTTAA